CTATAACTCACTCTGACAGGGGATGAAAAGGGTGCGGGCTTCCATGTTAGACCACTCTAGCTCCTCGCCCCAGTTCTGCCATCGATAGCTCTACAGTTGGCCCTCTGTATCCAGGGTTCCCACGTCTTAGGAGTCAATCAGCTGCAGATGGAAGATATTTGGGGGGGGGGAATTGCATTGGTACTGAGTACATGTGGACTTTTTCCCTTGTCATGATTTCCTAAATAATACAATAACTATTTATACAGCTTTTACATTAGCGTTTACATTAAGTATGAAGTACTCTTAAGTTATCTACAGATGATTTCAAGTTTATACAACAATGAGTGTAGGTTAGACATGCAAAGACGATGTTATTTTATAGTAGGGACTTGAGTGTCCAATTATTTTGGTATCCTTGGGGGATCCTTGTGAGTATTAAGGGATAGCTATGTGAACTTGGGCACATTTCTTGACTTCTCTAAGCCTCAATTTCCTCACTGGGTACTTGGGGATAATAACATTGACCTCAAAGGATGGTTGTTGGATTAGAAAAGATAACATCCATCCAGCACTTCACACTAAACCATGGGAGCTCAGCAGATGGCAACTGTTGCTGTGGTGGTGGTTATTTTTTACTGTTAATTCCACCTGTAAAGAGTCTAGTTGGGAGGGTGTTTTCCTCTGATGCCTTTTTTGGAATCCCAGGAAGGTTATGGTGGGATGTTCTCATTCCACTTCACACAGAGCCATCATGGCTGTTAGYGGGATTGGACTGGTCATTGAGTCCAATTTCTTTACCAATACTAAGCGGTGAAAGATGATCAAAGTCTCCTGAACTGCATTACAGACATCCTAAGCGGCCAGCAGCAACTCTTTCCATGATATAAACGCCATCCGGCTGCCCCAGTGCATCGAAACCACCAGCTTCCAATTATCCCCTGGCAGAGCTCAAAGCGCTTCCTTTTTGGAAGTTGAAAAGTAATCATAGTTATCATTCTAAATTGCTACCTTTTCTATTGATTTCCACATTATCATAGCACAAGGAGGCTCCTTGAGAACTTGGATCGAGAATCACTTTTACTGTGTATGGTTAGGTATTTTCTGCTTTCATGGACACGGAGACTTCATGGGTTGTTGGCAAAGAAGGAAATCCTAACCACCTTCAATGTTGTTTGCATTTAACGGTTCATCTCTCTGCGGTGTTATGTCTCAGTCCTTTTCCATTTAAGGTAGCTTAATTTTGAAAATATATAATGCTAATTTTTTGCCCTTCGTGGAATAACTTATAATCCCCTATTATAGCAAGCAGAAGCATCTGATTGTTCATATGTCCCTCTATACATTTTGGGGATGGTTTTATTAAGTCGAGGTGTAATGGTGATGGGGTATGGGGTTTTCTCTCTTGTCACTGGTTGGAAGACTTGTCCTGCTGGTCCAAGCTTTTCTCTCTGACACCCAGATCTCATTCTGGATTCCCAGAATTTGGCATCCATCCAGAGGAGCCCAGTTACTCTTGAGAAGTATCTTCATAGAGAAGCAAAGCTTCTCTGGGACTCTGAGTTGGGGCACCAAGGGCACAAAAGAATTGAACAGAGTAAAAGGAGGAGCTGTGTTCTCAGAAATGTTAGGAAATGTGGGAAATGTATATACATAGTGGGCCCAAGGAAAGGGAAGGAGTAATTTGATAATAAGGCTAGCATTTGTTGAAAAATTTGATGTGCTGGTCACAATACCAGGCCCTCTGAATAGTACCACCTAAGAAAAATATTGAGTGCTCATGAGGCAAGAAAACCATGCTAAGCATTTCACAGGAATTAGCATTTCATCTTGAGAAGAGTCTGAGGTTTTGAGCTGCAGTCATTAAGATCAGTCAGTTGGTAAGCATCATCCTACTTTGAGCTGAGGTGACCAGGAAGGATGAATCAATGAGATTGAAGTTGGTGATAATCAACATAGAATGGATATAGGTAAGCTTTTTCAGAGGACAGCCACCTAAGAGGTACATATAAACATGGTATAAAAAAAAATTAGAGTGTTTTCTAAACCTCACTGAGGAAATTCCCTCTCCCTGCAAAAAGGCAGGTACCAACTTAATGTGCAATTAGTAGAATACCATAATCTTGGAAACTGAATATGACTGTCATGAAAAGTATTTTGAGATGACAGATTTGTAAAGCCTAGTGAGAATTTTTCTAAGTCTTTCTGAGAAAAAATAAAGGGTGCATAGATTCAGAACGATGGGAATGTGGCCAGTGGTGGCCTCAGAGTTGCTGGAATGCAGTGCTTCTTGAATGTACCCACCAAAGTTCCCTGATGGCAGACTTAAACTTGTGTTCCTGAGATCTGGGCATTGCTCCAAGGTCTATTTTATCCTAAAAATTACATAAAGAAGAGGCCAACAGAGATGCTCAACATCATTAGCCATTAGGGAGATGCAAATCAAAACTATAGCTAGACACCACCTCAAGCTCATCAGAAGGGCAACTATAAAAAGACCAGCAAATAACAACTATTGGTGAGGATGTACAGAAACTGGAATTCTTGTGCACTCTTGGTAGAAATGTAATGGTATAGCCACCATGGAAAACAATATGGCAGTCCCTCAAAAAATTGAGAACAGTTTCCATATGACCCAGAAATTCTACTCCTGAGTATATACCCAAAAGAACATGTAGCAAGGACATAAGATACCTGCACTAGGTTCATAGCAGCACTAGTTACAATGGCYAAAAGGTAGAAGCAAAAGCAACCCAAGTGCTCATTGGCAGATGAATGGATAAACAAAATGTAGCGTATACATACAGTAGAACATTATTAAGGCTTGAAAAGGAGGAAATTCTGGTGTGTGCTTATAAGGACGAAACCTTAGGACATTATGCTAAGTGAAACATACCAGTCATAAAAATGACAAATACTAAATGATTCTACTTGTAGGAAATATTTAGAGTAGCTGCATTCATAGTAACAAGTAGAATGGTGGTTGCCRGAACTGTGGGAAAGGAGGTCAGGGGAGTTATTTTTTAATGAATACAGAGTATGCGTTTTACAAGATGAATTGAGTTCTGGAGATTGGTGGCCCAACAATGTGAATGTACTTAGCACTACTGACTGTACTAAAAGTTGTTAAAATAATGTTATGTTACATATACTTTACCACAATCAAAATAAAAATCATATTTGTATATTATATTATAATCATATTTATATACAATTATATATATTAATTATATTAAGAAAATTTCTCTATATTCTACCCGTATCTCAAAGAATGATGTAAAAAAGAAGCCTGTGTTTACCTTATTTCCTTTATGATTTATACCCTGGATTTGCATGTCATGAACTAGGAAGATGACTATCAGGACAACAAGTTCATTCTCCTTCTGATCATGTCTTATTTTCCCCAAGCTGGTGTTTACCTCATGTAGACCAGCGAGCCTGAGAGGCCTGGGCCACCCCATTTCCTGCCTCTCGCTGCAGGTGGGTAAGTTAACATTTTTAAGAATGAAGCAGCTGAGAACTTAATCAGCCCAGATCAAACTCCTGGGATGTGATCCCTCTGGAGTGAAGGGACAAGACAGAAATGCTCAACCTGCCAACCTAAGGACAAAGCCTTGTGTGGATCATGACTCCAAGCACTGCCACCTCTCCCCAGGGGGTCCAATTTGAAACAAACTTAGGGCTCTCCTGTTAACACACTGGGGAGAGGGTGGGAGAAGATAGTCAGGTGACAGAGAAGGGTGCCAAGCAGGAGATAGGACTCAAAATGCCAGCAAAGAGAGACTGAGGGACAAAGAGCAGCATCCAGGGGAGACATCTCAGTGGCCTTAAAGGGGGAACATGGAGCAAACGAGAGCAGTAAGGAAACTCACCCTAGGGTGCAGGCTTATGAGGACAGCAATTTATTAAGTGCCAGAGAAATGCAGACGTTGAGGTCGGCACAAACCCACAGGTGCCTTAAGTAGACTACTACAAATGAAATAAATAATGTGGATGGAGAGGTGATGTAACATGCCGGTTAAGAACATGAGTTCTGGTGCCACACTGCTGGGCCCTGGGTCCCAGCTCCACCCATTCCTGGCTCTGTGCCTTGAACAAACTGTGTATCCTTAGATTCCTCACCTGTGAAACAGGCATAAAACTAGTATCTGTCTCAGAGGCTTGTTGTTAGGACACAATGAGTAACTAACACACAAGGAACACTGAGATCAGTACCCAATATCAGTAAAGCCATGGCACACGTACACGTCACAATAACAATTTACTAAGCTCTATTTAGGAGCAACTCCCGGGATGAGGCATGGAATCTATATATGCACAAAGCATTGTCTTAGCATGATCTATGGCTTATCCAACTACAGATCCTTATAAAGATATAGGTATGGTGATAARTGAAATTCAAACTAATTCAGATTGTTATCCTAAATCATGGGAGCAATTACTACTAAATGAAATAATTATGAATAATACTTCTGCAGGGTTACTGTGAAGTGGGCATTCTTCTGGTACCTCACAAATATCAACTCATTTAACTTTCATGAGAACTCTAGGAAGTAGGTTAAGTTTCATATTCGTTTTTTTTTTTCCCACTGCTAGAGAATGTAAGTATCTTGCCCAAGTCCGGAGGCCAGCAGGTGGTAAAGCTGGGATTCAAAGTCAAGCCACCTGGCTGAAGYCCAGACTTTGGGCTACCAGCCTGCACAACCCCTTCACACGCGGCTCTGTGATGCCTTCTGACATTTAAATTGGGTTTCACAGTTGAAAGTGTAGGAAGATCCCAGCAAGTGAAGAATGAGGTCAGGCCTTCCCAGGAGGGACAGCAGAAAAGAAGATCCATTCTTAAATGTGTTATGGTTGGACATAAGGGATTCTCAACAGGAATAAAAGGCTTGGCTTTGGACCATGGGTGAAGAATATGATGGGGATGGAGAAAAATCTTTGTTTCTAAATCCCAAGATGGCTTATCACTAGAAGTCCTTGGAACCCACAGATGATGGCAGGCAGGGGGACGTCTGACTTACCGGCCGGGGCAGACTGTACTGGTACATTTCTGGGCGGTAGGTGGGCACCCACTGCACCCCGGCCCTGGGCCGGGTCATGGTCCCCGGTGCACTGGTCACCACCTCCGAGTAGGGCAGGTGCTGGGCAGAGCCATAGGCCTCCTGGTGTCGGCTCTGGCCTGCGTGGCCTGCGGACGCCAGGCTGAAGGCCTCCTCCAGGAGCATGTGCATCTGTTGCCTGACCTCGTCGATGGAGGGCTGGGAGCTCAGCGTGGAGGTCTCCGAGTGGCCTTTCACCTGCCTCGACCTGGCGTAGCCCCGGGGCTCATGAACTCTGTCAACGTTGGTTTCCTCTATGATTTCAGGTTCAGTCTGTGGGACCAAACAAAGCTCATTAATTCCTCGGTGAAGCTCTCTCCCATGAAGGTGGCCTGTAAGATTTATTCTAAAATCTTCACTCGGATTGGCAATATTAGAATCAGTGCTAATTTAACTCATATCCTAGGTGCCTTCCCCAGGAATTCACATGAGAGGGGCTGTCAGCACGCATGATGTGAGAAGGGCCACCCTCCAGCGGTCAAGGTACATGGGGGCTTTCCAACCAGAGACCCAAGTGCCGCAGACTTGGCTGATTAGCATAACCATTAGAAATGGCTTTCATTGATGAAATTAGTCCTATCGTCTAAAATCTTTTATACCTTTGGGTATAAGAATCTGGAGCATCCTGTCATCAACACCCCAAGGGATGGCACTTTTAGACAAACTCTTTAAATGGTCCTGCGTCTAGCCAATTGGTTAGGGAATTTCTGGATGCCCGATGCTAGTTATCGGAGAATAACAAAACGCTACTTTGAGATTGCTGGTCTCAAGGCGGGGTGCTGGAAAAATCAGAAACTCTGAGATGGGGCTCCGCAATCTGGGTTTTAATAAGCACTCCAGGGGATTCTGATGTCTGCTCCAGTTTGAGATCCAGTGATCTAGAACTTTCTCCTGCCTTCCCCCATGGGTCCTTTCATTCAGGGAACAGCTGCAGGGCCTAGGTGGGCAGAGAGCTGGGACTTCATCGACTCCCAGAGCATGCTCTGTGGACTGGCAACTTCTGCTGGCCTGCTGATGGATGCTGGACTCGTAAGTGTCTGCCCTTTGTTCTGAGATTTCCCTGCCTCTGTTAGCTGGGATGCCTGTGGGCGTCCATTCCACCAGAGTGACCCTGCACAAACCTCAGAATGCAAGAATGCAAAAAGCCAGAGAGAAGGGCATGGTCAGGCAACATCGTCCTCTGCTTTGCAGTGCTTGCCATAGCAGGAGCCAGATCTACGAGGGGCACTGAGAAGCTAGAAGACTRGGCATTAAAGATGATGCAGCCAGGAAAGTTGCTTTAGGTTTTTGGTGTTTCAGCTTTGTTTTGTCTTTTTTTTTTTTTTTTTTTTTTTTTTTTTTTTTTTTTTTTTTTTTAGTACTGAGGATTGAACCCAGGGCCTCACACATGCCAGGCAAATGAACTACCACAGCTGGGCGTGGTGGCGCATGCCTGTAATCCAGCGGCTCAGGAGGCTGAGACAAGAGGATCACTAGTTCAAAGCCAGCCTCAGCAAATGTGAGGTGCTAAACTTGACCTGAAATTAAAAATTCTGTCCAATTTCCCAGGGCTTGAGTTTGAGGTTAAGATAGAAAGTTCACCTTCTCTAACACATTTCTTGAATGCTAAAGAGCTGCATGAACCTAATCAGGGTCTCAGTGAGACCCTATCTCTAAATAAAATACAAAAAATAGGACTGGGGATGTGGCTCCGTGGTTGAGTGCCCCTGAGTTCAATCCCTGGGACCCCCCTGACCCTCCCCCCCCAAAAAAAAGCACTACCACAGAGCCACATCCCAGCCTGGTGTTTCAGTTTGTTTGATTAAAATGAGGATAATACTGCCTCTAAGGGTTTTATAAAGATAAAATAAATGTGCATGTAAAGATTTATAACAGTAGCACAGGGTAAAGACACAATAATGGTAGTCACTGTCATTATCATCATCATCATTACTTTTACTCATTCAAATGCAGACATTCTTTTGTAATTACCTTGTGTAGAAGAATTGGATGTATAAAATGAGCACATCAAGAAAATGCCATTAGGAAAATCATTCCTATTCTTCTGCCCTTAAATATTACACATTAAGGTCAAACTGTGAAATATTTCATTTTTAAAAGTGTAGCATTCAATTAATACATGCTCATTAGAGAAGATACTGAAAATACAGAAAACACATAAAAGAAATTCGACGTTTCCTGTAATCTGATCACCCAGAGTTAGGACTTGGCTATATAGCTCAAGATCAAAAGTAAGGTTCTCTATCAACTTTCTAGATTTATTAACAAACATCTACTGTAAGAAATCTAAAGTACTGCTTTTATATTGGATTAGGGAGTCAAATATAAAATTACCCTTGAAATAACAAGAATTCAAAGACATGTCACGATGGGTGCATGTCCCCAGGCCCTGGGCTGGAGGACACATTGGGCTCTTGTGCTGTTACTTCTGCTGTTAGGGGATCTGCAGGGAAAGGCTTGTGATTGCTATCTGAGAAGTGTGGTCTCTGAAGTCCAGCAAACCTTTATCTCCTCCTTAAAGGAGGAGATAGGTACAATAATAATATCAGTTGGCCTTTCTTAATAGCTCATACAACTAGACATTATTCTAAGAGTTTGATTCTTTCCATCCTTATAATAGCCTATGAGATAATGTTAACAAGCATGCTCATTCCCACCTTTTTTTGCCTGGTGGTACCTTCTAGGATAAAGAATTCTGTAACATGCAAAGAAAGTTTCTTCATAATGCACAGAATATTCTGAACTGAATTTCAGAGTCTGAAGAGAGGGAGGGGTTATATGAGCAAGGTGGGTGGGAAGAGGCCCCTGAGGAGACTATTCTCCAGGTTTCCACTGCCATCCACCCCATGATACCTCCACAGAAATTAACCTCTCTCCTCCCCACAGGGTTTTCATTCTGCATTCGGGTGGGGGCGTTAACTGGAAGGTCCAGAGTCACAACTCAAGTATGATCTCATTTGGTTTTCTCAAGCCACATTCTAAAGAACTCCTATTCTCTTTCTGTTCTCTGTCGATATTTCAGCCTCTCAGTATCTACAGACAGAAACATGACTAGCTCTCACTATACCCTGGCTTCCTCTCATCACACTTAGATTCATTTAATATCTGTTTTGTGCCAAACTAGACACTCCCTGAGCCCACTGCACCAGTTTCTTGGGAGCTTAGCAGGAAGAACTTGGCATTCAACAAAGCTTTGTGAACTTGACCTGAAATTAAAAATTCTGTCCAATTTCCCAGGGCTTGAGCTTGAGGTTAAGATAGAAAGTTCACCTTCTCTTAACACATTTCTTGAATGCTAATGAGCTGCATGATCCTAAGCATGAACAGACCTAAGCCTCAGACTCCTCATCTGTGTCATGGGAAGGCTGAACTATGATCTGATATTTGCCACCTTGTGGGCTCTGTCTGCTCTGGAAGGTGCTACAGTACTACTCCAATTGACATTCTTTAAAAAAAAAAAMACACAAAAMCCCCCCCTGATATCTACTTGTGAAGGGAAACCCCCTTCACCCTCCCTGCCTGCAACACACGAGAGGTATATGTTTTCTCTTTTACTTAATAGACAAGTGGTGGTTTCAGCTCTATGCTAAGTCCTGAGTTGGGGTAGTAAATACTGTAAGAAAGAATATCATGACCCAGCTCTCAGCGAGCTCCCTAAAGGAGGAGATAAATACAACAATAATAATACCAGTTGACCTTTCTTAATAGCTTATATAATTAGATACTATTCTAAGAGTTTGGTTCTTTCCATCCTTATAATAACCTATGAGGTAATATTAACAAGCACGATCATTCTGACCTTTCAGATGAGGAAACTGAGGCATTGAAAGATCAAATATGTTGCGCATTGTTGACAGAGCCGGCAAAAAGTTTGATTCCAAAGCCCAAGCTCTTACCCACTGTACAAATCAAAGCAGGTCCATTACTGTACCCCATTGTGGGCTCTGGATGAAGGACAGACAGATTTCTGTGACCAGGGGGACAGAAGATAATAATTATTGAGATAGTCTACCTCAGAGATGACTGTGAGGATGAAAATCATGAATATGTAAATATGAATAATTGCTATGTGCCAAATACAGATGCAGATCTGGCACATAGCGTTTATTAAATGTTGCCTATAATTGTTGTTATTTGCCTCTTTGCATAGACTGGGGGCTCCTTTATGGTTGGGCCAGTGTATTGTTAATTGTTGTATTTATAGACCTGATGTCCAGGGCCTGGCCAGAGCTAAAGCCAGTCAATGGCTGTCCAGTGAAAGAAATTCATGTAGCAGGTGCTCACATCTATTTGAGGACCTGTGATGTGCCAGCCCACATGTGGGTGGGGGAGGGGTTTCCATGGGTGTCCCCTCACTCGGGGTCGTACAGCAGATGAGCCCATTTTCAGATAAGGAAAACCGTGCCTATAGACATAACTTGTTCTGAACCCTTTTTTTCCACTTGCACATTTCTGAATATGCCTTTTTCTTGGGGAGACAAGAGCAAAACCCCTCAGTGTTGGCTGATGGTTGGCTTGGGTGTAATGTCTGGGGCCATACATAGGAGAGAGAATACATTTTTAAATCTCTTTACCTTGGAAGGTACCATACTTGCTTCTCCAACCTCATGTTCTTGAAAAGTGCCAGGGGATTTTTTTTTAAAGCTCGTTTATAAATTAATCAAGATATACTTCAATAAAATTTTTAAAAATTAATCAAGGGAATGTCTGTATATGAAAAAAAATTAGAAAACATAGATAAGCAAAATGAAGAAAATTAAAATCCACTCTAATCCAACCTCCAGAAATAACTGCTGTTAATATTTTGACCTTCCTGCATGTCCCTCCAGATGCTTCTGATGCCTATGACATAGGATGAAGGTTCGGAGTGCTGTACAGTGCCACTCCCTGCCCCCTGCCCCAACTTGTAGCTCCCACCCAGGCCACAACAGAGAGCAATGACTTGGCCCCTGTCAGCCTCTCTTCTTCCAAGGGAGGGCCACCCTTTGCCACATAGATTCTCTGGGCTTTGTTATGGAGAATAGGGAGTGGGGGGTGTGATACTTCAGACAGAAGTGATATGGGTTGCAGGACTTTGGGGGAGAATTTCCAGAGAGGTTCAGAAGCAGTTAGGTGGCATGTGCATGGGAGAGCAAATAAGGGAATTAAACGTATTACCAGGCATGATGTATTTGCATTCACATATATGAAAACCATGAGTAAAGCAATAGAGATGTTTTAAAATTGCTTTTGTTAGCATAGTCATAGTTCTTTGGGTCATCATCATTTCCCTTTCTCTTCCTTTATTATTTATTTATTTTGGTACCAGGGATTGAATCCAAGGGTGCTCAACTCCTGAGCCACATCCCCAGCCCTTTTTTGTTTTTTGTTTTGAGACAGGCTCTTGCTGAGTTGCTTAGGGCCTTGCTAAGTTGCTGAGACTGGCCTTGAACTTGTGATCCTCCTGCCTCGGGTTCCTGAGTTGCTGGGATTACAGGTGTGTATCAGCACCACACCTGGCTGGGTCATGATTTTCGAAATAGAACACACACATTTGTATGTATGTATGTATGTACATATGGACATTTTTAAAAAGCAGCTTATTTTATAAGCRACATTTTGAAAACTTTAATGCAACAATATTGTAAACCAATGTGTCACCAATAAATACATGTATTTGTAGGGAAGAACTTTAAGTGACTTCATAGTATTCCAATAGATGRAGTTTTCAGAATTATAATTAACAGTCCACTGTTTGGGTGGTTTCCAATATCTTACTATGAAAACAAAGCTGGAGGAGATTTCCTCTTGATTCAAACTTTGCATATAATCTTGAATGCATCCTTAGGCTAAGTTTCTAGGTGTAGAATTACTTGTTCAGAGGATGTGCATATATTTAAGGATTGGGGTAGTTAYGGTACATTGTAGCTCAGCAGTAAGGACCATGGTATTCAGCAGAAATTAAGACCTTTCCTTCTCCACACATGTACACCTGGGCCCCATACCTGTGTTGTGCTTTATGGTGCCCACTGGATAGAACAAGCACCTGCTATTCTTTCCATGTTGTTTTCAAAAGAGCAAACTAGTCCACAGGAGCAGGATGGCCCAGCATGGCTACATATCCATGTAACTTCAGCTTCTCTTTGAAACACCACAGGAACAAAGTTGAAGGACCCACAGCCCTGCTGAGAACCCATCAGTGYCTGTTTTCTGGAAAACAGACGTATCGTCTAGTCCCAGGACATATCTTGTAGCCCTCAATATTTATCAAAACTAAAAACTAGTTTTTGATCAGACAACCAATGAAAAATAAAAACTACTGATAAGAGAAAATATTAGGATTCATTATCCAGAACATGCATAATCATTTCTACAAATGAAGAACAAGAAGACATCCTAAGTTAAAGGCTTAAAAAGACACCTCARTAAAAGAAGATACAAACACATGGATAGGTACTCCACATCATTAGTAACTAGGGAAGCTGMATCATTCCACACTCAGTGGAGTGGCTAAAATTAAGGAAACTAATGACAGAAAATGTTGGTGAGGTTGTGGAATAGAATTAGAACCATCATACTGTTGGAGGGAGGGGAAATAGTACACGTTATTTGCAATCTGACGGCAGTTTATTAAAAAGTTAAAAATAAACCTATTCTACAACCCAGAAATTCTACTCCTACATATTTATCTAAGACAAATAAAAACATATGTTCACAAAATGTAGGAAATGTTTATAGTTTTTTTTATTTTTATAATAGCTCCAAATTGGAAACAAGCCAAACGTCCAACAAAATGATGATGAATAAGCAAAGAGCATCAGATGTGAACAGTGGAACAGTACTCAGTTAATAAAAAAAAAAAGAAATAATACATTGGTTGATATGCATAACAGTATCGATGAATCTTGAGTAAAAATGCCAGGCACAAAACAGTATATACTGGATAATTCCACTTATCTGAAGTGGAAGAATAGGCCAAACCGTGATGGTAGATATTCCCATGGGATGATAAAGATGGATCGAAAGGAAGAGTGAGGAAATTTTGGGAGTAGGGGACCCATGGTAAAAATGCTCTATATTTCGACTGGATTGGKGGTCACAGGGTATACACATTTGTTGAAGCTCATCATTGTATACACTACAGATTTGAACAGAGCTAGGGATGTGGCTCAGTGATAGAGYGCTTGCCTAGTGTAGGTCCTGGATTCGATTCTCAGTATTGCTTAAATATTTTTTTAACATCTTCCCATATATTAGTCTTGCCATAATAAAAAAATCAAAATGGTAGCCATTTGTGGTGGCAAATGTCTGTAATCCYAGTGGCTGGGGAGGCTGAGGCAGGAAGATCGCAAGTTCAAAGCAAACAGCCTCAGCAAYRACAAGGCRTTAAGTAACTCAGTGAGACCCTGTCCCTACATAAAATACAAAATAGGTCTGGGATGTGGCTCAGTGGTCAAGTGCCATTGAGGACGGGCTGAAATAACACAGCTGCTTTAATGGGGATGGTCAAGGAAGGCCTATTGAAGAGGTGTTAGTTTTTGAGACCTGAAGGAAGGGGGATGGCCATGTAACTGTCACAGGAAAGCTTAAGAAACAGTTCTGAGGTAGGAAAGAGCTAGTAGWATTTGAGAAAGAGAAAGACCTGCTATGGAATGAATTGCATATAGTTATGTCTCCAGGGTCTCCGAATGTGACTATATTTGGAGATAAGGTCTTTACAGAGGTAATGAGGTGGCAATGAGGTCATTAGAGTGGACCTTAAGCCAGTGTGACTGATGTCCTTCTAAGAAGAGGACATTTGGACACAGACATGTACAGAGAGAAGATGTGGTGGGGCCTCAGGGGTAGATGGCCATCTTAAACCCAGGAGAGAGGCTGGACCAGATCCTTCCCTCGTGGCCCCCAGGAGAACCAACCTGGCTAACACCTTCATCTGGGCCTTGTGGCCTCCAAGATTGTGAGAAAATAAGTTTCTGTTGTTTAAGCCACCTAGTCGGTGCCCTAGCAAACAAATACATGTACGTTGTGCAGAAGTCCCAGGTGTCAGGAGATGGGACAGATTGTCCAAGGTCTTAAGGGCCTGAGGACTGGACTGTTTTCAACAGATAAGAGGAAAGGAGTGAAGAATTTTAAGCAGGAGAGAAGTATGATTGGAATTTATGGGAAATCATTTAGGAGGCTCTTGCAGTAATCCACACAAAAAGAGACGACATTAGGTGGTTGTTGTGGGTGAATTCAAGGTATCTTTTGGAAGAGAACCGACAAAATTTGCTGATAGATTAGATGTGGCAGGTGGAGGAAAGGAAGAAGTTGAGGCCGAGACCCCTTACCAAGAAGGGAAACCGTGCTACGACGGGTCTTCTTGATGCTCTCTGAGCTCCTCCAGAGCGAATCTTGCTCTGGGCCCTTCCACTAGCTGTTCCTACCRCTCTGAATGCTCTTCCCTTGGGACCAGCATGCCTGGCTCCCTCATTTTAGGTTTCTGCTCAGAAGTCACCTCCCTAGAGAGGCTTCCTGGACCAGCCCTGTAATTTTCCAAGTTGTGCCTGCTTTCCTTTCTGTGAATGAGTGGAAATCAGTCCTAAAAGCCCGAGGAATTTCTGCTGCAAGATCTTCAACGGTAAATGACATGTCCACGTGTCTGTAATGAACGAGACAGTCTTATCTAGAATGGAGTTGGAGAGGAGAGCTGAAGGGCCCTTAAGACCACTTATTCTAGAAGTTCTTAAATTACAAGCCCCAAAGTGGGCAGATGTCTTACATTGCCGTTACTTCCCAGGACACACAACGTCACTTGGCCTCAGCCGGGCACTTCATTTCCAGAGTACAAAAAATCTGAAGGCCTTCTTGAAAAGTTGCCCCAAATCCCTGATTTTCAACTTAGTACTAATCATAGCTCCATCCTGCAAGGAGAACAGATTTTGAACAAAATCTGCAACTTCCTGGCAAGGACCCTACGACCAGGTGGGGGTTTCAGCAAGATACATTTCTGGGCCATCTGGCCATGATGAAATTAATCTGGCTCCATGTCCATTTCTCTTCCCACCARTTAGGGTCCTCTGAGCCACACAAAACCATGCTGCTTCCCTGCTTAATGCCGATTCTGGCTGTAAAGGGTCCATCGCACATGCTGCTGCCCACTGAGGAGCCAGATGCATATATAGAAAGTTGCTTCTGGAAACCAAATTTCAGGAAGTTCTCTCTTTGCCTGGTGGGCTGAAGAGGATGATCATGATGACAGGAGCAGAGMGACTTTTGTAGCAGCTTCCTACTGAGCCCACGTCTCAAAAGCTTCTCTACCAATAAAGGGAGATGGGTTCCCTTCAGAACAGATGGGGGTTCAAATAACGGTCTGATGATTTCTCTTTTGCAAAAGTGTGTAAATGAAATTTTATTTTATTTTTTAATCTTAGGAAAACATGCAGTTGCATTCCGCCTGTCTTCCAAGATGACCCTCCATCACTGGAAGGTATGGGGCTATGAAGACAGCAGCTGTTCTATGTTTCAGGTGAGCCAAAAAGGCATGAGAGGGTTTCTTGCAGACTTGAGAGCAGAGAGGGACAAACTCTGTTTCTTCCAAAGAATGATCCATAATTACACTGAGAACATGCAGATAGGACTGTCAGGGATAAAAGAAGGCACTCGCTGTTCTCAGGATTACTTACCGCTCCTAAAGTAAACCAGCCCCAGCCGGCAGCAGGAGTCTCAGGACCTGGCTCCAGCTCCTGTCTTTCTACCCCTGGAACTGGGCAGTGGGGATTTCAGTCCTGAGCAGGTCACAAGATCTCATCTGTTTTGACTAAGAAGCCTTATGGTTTATGCTGTGTTTGGGAAAGTGTGACCTTAGAGGTTCACCAAAAGATGAGAGGCTGACACCAGAGGTCAAGGTAACATGGAGGGGTGCACTGGGTTTGCTCCTTAGAAAGTCAACCACAAGTGTTCCTCAAGTGGTGGCCTCAGCATCTATCGTCACCTTTCCTTGTGTCTCAGCCAGGAGTTCTGGGTGGGCATAAGACTGTCTCAGGTCCATTGGTGAGGCCTGACTCAGGTAAATCAATCAGCATAGCCCCTGCTGCTATAGTGACGGATACAGGGTTGGGCATTTGACTTATGGGGGCTTACTCAGAATAAAACCCGTATACCATTGATTCATGATCCGGAAAAGAGAACTCTCTCTTGTGTTGGCCAATGCAGGACGGAGATGTGAGAGCTGGGACTACTACAGCCATTTCTTGCCTGAGTGAGCCAACCTGAAGTTGAAGCCCAGGCATAAGAGAGTACAGTGCTGTATAATGCAGGGGAATGGCCTGGATCTTCAGGCGAACCATGTCTGCATTTAATGTAACCAACACATTCCCTTTATGTTTTAAGACAGTTTGAATCAGGTTGGGTTTTTTTGGTTGCTGTTGTTGTTACTTTTATTGAAAGCATCCTAACTGATAACTACCACTTAAACTGAACTCCAAACAGTAATTTACATTGATCTACAGTTTTGATAGTCAATCAAATGAACCATTTCTGTGGCTCAGAGTTATAAATGGGGCACATTTATAACTCCTCAGCTTAGGAGTCACCTCTTCTCGTTGACACACTTGTTTGCTCATTTGCTCAACAAATAGAGACTGGGCATCCTCTCTATGCCAGTTCCTATTCTGAGTGCTGAGGTTTCCAAGATGAATAAAACATGATTCCTGCCCTTGAGGAGTCAAATGGGGAAATAAAACAAATAGACCAATAAAAGGAAGCTGGGGTGAGGGACTGATTGGGGTGAGAACTACATGTTACACTGGAACGCTAAGGATGGGCATCTAAGCCAGGGCCATGGGTGTGGGGGCTAGGGAAAGATTCTGGAGAAGATGATGTTTAAGCCAAGTTTTGAAAGCATCACCAAGTGCATGTGTTTGCCTCCCAGGGGACATGTGGTAATGTCTTGAGATATTTGGGGTGTCACAACTGGGAGGGGCTACTGGAAGCTATGGGGTAGAGGCCAGGGGTGCATAGGGTAGCCCTCCATACACAGCCCGAGTGTCAGTAGTGAGAGTGCTGAGAATACTTGATGCTGATGAAGCGGGTGAGAAGGGGGTTGTGATCGATGAACTTGTGCACCAACATGAGACAGGAAACCCAACGCCAAGTGTGGGGAAGGGCATTCAGCCTGGAGCCACGGGGAGGGTTAAGGAGTGAGGAGCATCAGCTTGCAGGGCATGCCTGGGCTCCACAGCAGGTGAGTCCCAGGTCAGGAGCTTAGATGTCTCGGGCTCAAAGCTGCTGGGAGCCACTGGAGGATTTGCAGCAATGGTGTGTTCCAGGATTCCCCCAGCAGCGTTTTGGCAGCTTTAGCTTGGTGAGTAATGGGGACTGGACCAGGCAGCAGCCCTGGGATAGACAGGGAGGAAGAGACCTGCAAGAGGAGTCCCTCCTCTCATCCAAGTTCATGGTCACAGCAGGTTGTGACCTTTCTCCTCCATTCATCTGTGACCCCCAAGGGCAGGCATAGAGTTCGAACATCTTGTCCTTCCGCAGAGCCTCACTTAGGTAGGTAGGGTGGAATTCCATGGGGTGCTTAGATGCTAATGCTGGTGGAGAAGGTAAAAGTTGTGGAGAGTCAAACCCTTGAAATCCCTTCAAATGTCTTTTGTGGATACATCTTAGGAGTAATGGGGAAAAGGAAATGTGCAATGGATAATACAAACAGSATACGTGAAAAAAGCTAATTTTTAGCATGGATTTAATGGTCTTTTATTTTTCTACTGGTGAATTCGCATATGTTAAATGCACACCTGCTGTAAAGGCTTCACCAAACTCAATAAACCTTTGCTAGAGGCAGTGAAAGGGATAGCAACTCCCAAGGGATATTCTTATTTTGTCCACTGTTCTCTGGCTTCTACAGAGGTTTGGGGGCCTCAAGTGGACCAAGCAGCATAAGGGAGTGGGAGGAACTAATAGTTCTGGTCATGCTGCTCACAACTGGAGGACTGGTTCACCCAGGGGCAGGGCACACTGCCAGCCACCAGGTCTCCGATGTCAGCTCCTGCTAGGTATCTGTCCTTGGCTAAAAAGAGTACCTCACCCAAGGCCACCCAATGACTGATCCATACTACTGTACAAAATTCCAGCTGTTTTGCCCAAACCTGGGATAAGTCTGCAGTGCCATCTGGGCCACAGAGCACCCTGTGGGATTAGCCAAGACCCTGTGGTATTTGTACCATGGTCTTGAGCTTTTAACTCTGTCCAATCCTGCCTCCTTCTCTACCCCAACAGGTGTTCAGGACATGCTGGGACCCCGGCTTGCAATCAGGAGGCTTTTATTCACTGCTTTGTTATTTTCTACATGATTTGCATTCAGAATACAACATTAGAAAATACTTTTTTGCTTTTACACATAGAATGACATTTTCTTTTCCAYGACATTTCAGTGCCTGAGTCACTTTGATGATATAGTCTGGCCTCGTAGGACTAATCAGTTTGGGACATTTTTTTTTTTTTTTTAAATTGCATTCTCGGGCCAGGGTTGTTGCTCCAAGGTAGAGTGCTTGCCTAGCACGTGTGAGGCACTGAGTTCGAGCCTCAGCACCACATTAAAAAATAATAATAAATAAAATAAAGGTATTGTGTAAAAAAATACTGCATTCTCTTAGCAGGGGTGTGGACTCTTAGAAAATTACTACCACCTGGGCCACAGTTACCAGTGGGAATACACTGGTTGATAGAGTGACCAAGAGGTTGTGAATTATTGCTGCAAAACACAATGAATCCAAACTCCTTGGGGTTTAGTCTCTCTTCTGCAGGTGTGAACACCTCTCGCTCTATGGGAAACGTTGCAAACGATCCAGGCTGCCATCCATCCTGGGGCTAGGATTTGCCTAGGAAGCTGTATCTGTCTGCTTATTTATGTATTTATTCATTCATTTTTACACGCAGACTTTTCCTTTAGGACAACTCTGGAGTTGTCAACTCTTGAGAAATTCAAAATCAAATAAACCTTCTGGAGCTTTTGTTTCACTGTTGTCAATCTTTCCTAACCTGGCAGAAATGACTGGGTATTTTGGCCTGCTTCTGAGATCCCCAGACCCAGTAGGAAGAATGACATGTTCCAACTGAATGACAGGTTCACTGCTGGGCTAATGGATTCTTTTGCCAGGAAGGAGGACCTTGGCATTTTTTATTTTTAGAAAACGACTGAGCTCAGAAAATGAAGGCATTGTTTGAAACTATGACTTGCTTCTTTTTCTACTTTATTTGCCGGTCTATTTTTTGTTTGGGTGACTTATGCATGTAGGACTCCTTCTGAGACCCACAGAGGTCACTTTCAGAGGTATGGAAATATAGAACCTATATTACGGGATATGAGGATAGGCACGTAGTAAGGAGAGGTGTACATACAAGCCATATCGCATGATGGTTAAGAGGATGGGCCCTGGATCTGGGTGGACAAATCATAACTTCTCTGAACATCAGTTTCCTCATCTATGCAATAAGCAAAATAAGAGTATCTACTCACCTGGAAACCATGAAAATTCAATTTGATAATATACATAAAAAATGTCAATAAGGCTTGGTCTATAGCATGCGGTCAGTAAATGACAGCTACTTTTCATACGTTTAGTATAAAAAACAGAAGAGGAGCTACAATTCAGTGATTTCATTTTTTTTCCTTTTAAACAGTGTGTCACTAAATTGCCCAGGCTGGCTTCACTCATCATAATCTTGCCTCAGTCTCCCTAGTAGCTGGGACAACCAGGAATGTGCCACCCTGCCCAGCTAGCAATGCTATTCTTAGGGTCAACAGTCTAAATTTTGAAACTGTTCCTCAATAGCCTAAATTCACAAAGCTGTTCTGCAGATAACTGTTTCTTCTTAAGGAAGCTTATATTTCTGTTTTTGAGATTATGAATACTTCTCAAAGAAATGTAGATTTTTGAAAACTCTATTAGAATGAAGAGATTCTCCCTAAAGTTATCTGTATTTGGAATATCTGTACATGTCCGTGAGGGGTGAGCAGTCTCCTTTTAAAAATTTAAAAATTCTCTCTCTCTCCTATTGTTCTAGGCAATTTACTAACACAGTGTTCTAAAGGTATCAGGTAAGTACTGCAAGTCATGTCAGATTCTCATTTAAGCATTTTTTTTTTTTTTTAAACAAAGAGTCTCAGGGAATCTCTGGTCCATTTTGTCATTGCTAAAAGTGCCCCTGCCTAGACTTTCACAAGAAACCTGTTAATACTAACCTTGAGATAAACTAAAAATCTTTGATCCCAGGTGCTTAAGCAGAAAGAAAAGTTCCTCAAACTCAGTAAGCATTCCAGGAAGATTGTTCACTCTCGGAGGTTGATTGGAAACACGAAACTTATGCTGATTTTTAATTGCACATTGATGATCAAATCAATGAACGAATTTGGTAAAAAAAAATGATCTACTAGGATAGTTTAAACTAACAAAAAAAGATGTGCTCAAAATTTCTAGAATTTGGGGCTGGGGTAGTTGCTCAGTGATAAAGTGCTTGTCTAGCACGTGTGAGGCGCTGGGTTTGATTCTCAGCAACATATATAAATAAATAAAATATAGGTCCATTTTAAGTTTTAAAAAAATTTTCTAGAATTTTATAAAAACTAAGCTATCAAACAATTTTAGGAAAAAGGAAAAAAAGAAAGAAACGAGTCTCCCCACCAACACAACATCAAGCTTAAGTGTAAAAAAGATCACCAGAAAAGGAAATTAAGCAGAATATCCCTATTCTTTGATTAAACCATTAAAAAAATCTCATTTTAAACTTTGTGGCAAAACTACAAACCAYAATCAATTGCAACAGTGCAATCTCAGAAAGCTAACACAAAGCCATCTACTTATCCATTCTTTAATGAGTGCCTACTATGTGCCAGGCACCATGGAAGATGCTGAGCATCCATGGCCCCGACACTCTCAGAGTTTATATCCTAATGATGGAGACAGACAATTAACATGATAATCTCAGAATGACAGTATGGCAAGCAGTGACTGATCCCAAGAGGAAAAGATAGTCTTGCCTACATATCAGTATGATATATTTAAGAAATTGAGTGTGATTTTCAAATTAAAGTTTCTCAAATTGTAACAACTTTCTCTAGACATATTTAAATTATAACTCTTCTTAGAGAAACTTTTCAATTTGTAATCAGAGGAACATTTTATGGAAATGAGAAAGAATTCTGATTCTGTTTTATGATATTGGGGATTGAACCCAGGGGTGCTTTACTACTTAGCGACACCTCCATCACTTCTATTTTTTTTAACCTTCCTCTTTTTTTTTGAGACAGAGTCTTGCTATGTGGCTTAGGACCTCACTAAGTTGCTTTGCCTGGTCTTGAACTTGTGACCTTCTTGCCTTGGCCTCTGGAGTTGCTGGGATTATAGGCCAGTGCCTCCATGCCTGATAAGAAATATGTTCTATAAAACCTCAGAGTATATCAAGCCCCTTTCAAATTGTGGGAGAGGGAGAAGCATTATTGAACTGTTCACATGAGCTCATGGTGCAATTCCAGGTCCAGGATGTATACTTGACAGGAGGCATCCAATTGCAGCTTCTCATCTGGGGAAGTCTGAAGGGCTTAGCAGAATTTCTGCAGTTTGGATCTATCACAGCACATAAGCATGTGCTTTGTCACATGAAATCATCTACTCGCTCTGTTGGACATCTCATTGTTTCCATGGCATATGAGGAGTTATGAAATCAGGAACAAATCCAAATTTTCATCACTGCTATGGATTAAAAGAAACCCACGTTCAAATGAATTCTCACTCTTTTTCATGGGTCTTACTGAGTTTCTAAAGACAGAGGGGGGGAAAGAATTAAGGACATTTAGAATCTCCATTGAATTTAAGGCCAGTAATGTAAGATAGGAAAATGAAATTAGGGTAGCAATTTATAGCAATCAATCCTTTCTGCAATAATTTGTTACTCTGACATATTTCCAAAGAGGCTTACTTTGGAAAAGAGATAATAAAAAATTGAAAACATTTGAATGCATTTCAAAATTCTACAAACAGGTAGTAAATGAAACATTATGGGCTGTTCTATCCTCTCTGCTTTTGGGGGAAAGCAAAGCTCGCGCTCACCCCAGCCCACCAGAGACTTACATCGTATCCACTGTTACGGATGCCACGCCGGGGTCTCTCTCGAGTGACCAGAAGGTCCATCTCGGTTTCTCCTGGACTCGGGCTGTTCAGAGACTGCCGGCTTCGGTAGACAGAGTTCTTCATCTGTTGCCTGAAGAAATTTCAACAACTGTTATGATGCAGCAAATGCCCTGACAGATGGAATTCTCCACTGATCCAAAACTACAGGCAACCAATGAAGGGTTTGGATTTGCTTCACAAATCTCAAAACTGATGGTATTTGTTCCCTGGCCAGAACAGGCTATAGAAAGAGTAGAATAAAGATTCCCCCCCCCCACCCCCCAGAGGCTGGAACTATATGGTTGAATTATAAATGTTCTTTCGTATGGAGACTAGGTAATTACAATCAATTGCAACAGTGCAACCTCATCTAAAATTCTGCTGATGGCAAGACCAGGGGCTCTGCCTGGACCCTCCAGGACAGCTAACACTGGCGCAACCAACTTGCCTTTGCTGACTTTGTTGACTGAGCAGGTCTCTGGTTCCTTTTACTCAATCTGAATTCAAGTGCAGGATTCTATGTGTCAATAAACCCTGTAGCCAGTGGGCTGCTTAATATTGTGATTAGTGATAAATTTCTTTTCTACAATTACCAGAGTAATTGGGCTTAAGAAGCCATAAATGGAGAGACAATTTGGGGCCTGCTATGGTTTAGATCTTAAGTGTCCCCCAAAAGCTCAGGTGTTGAAGGCTTGGTCCCCCAAACCAGCAGTGTCCAGAGGTGGGGCCTTTGGAAGGTGATAGGATCATGAGGGCTTTGGCCCCATCAATGGATTCATCCACTGGTGTATTCATAATTTAATGGACTATTGGAAAGTGGTGGTAAATTAGGAGGTGGGGCCTCCTTGAAGAAAAGAGGTCTTTGGGAGTGTGCTCTTGAATGCTCTATTTTATCTCAGCCCCTTCTCTTCATATTCTCTCTCTCTCTCTCTCTCCTTCCAGGCTGCCATGATATGAATGGCTTTGTTCAGCCATGATGTCCATCTCAGTTATTCTGTCACACTGACAGGAAGCTAACACAGGGCCATCCATCCATCCATTCTTTAATGAGTGCCTACTATGTGCCAGGCACCATGGAAGATGCTGAGCATCCACAGCCCCGACTTCTCAGAGTTTATATCCTAATGATGGAGACAATTAACATGACAATTTCAGAAGGACAGTGTGATAGAGAAAAACAGGGGCTATGACAGAGGGTGACTGGGATGGGAGATGACTTCAGATAGAGGTCAGGGAAGACCTCTGTGGGAGGTGGCATTTTTAGGCAAAGTCCTAAATGGAGTCAGCCCTATGCTGATGTGGGTATAGAGTATTTCAGGCCAGGGAGTAGCACATTCAGAGGCTCTACACAGCTACTTCTAGAAAATTCAACTGATGAGCAGGACCAAGCACAGCACTGCATCTCCATGGCTATGTGACTGGTCAAGGGATGGGCACATGACCCAAGTTGGTTTGATGAGACTGAGTCCCTGAGCTTTTGCTAGGGCAACTAAGAAAAGGGGCATTCTCTTGGCATTGAGGTTTTTAAGAAGATAGGGACACAAGCCTGGAATTACTGGCAGCCAGTTTGCCACCATGAGGTTAAAGCCTGCCTTCAAACCAGCCTGCCAAGGAGTAAAGAGAGAGCAAGAGCAAATGCAGGAAACATTGCATGTCCTCCTCGATCCAGCCACACTGAAACCTCGACCTTTCAACAATGTTAATACTACACCCCCTTTTTGTTAAACCAGTTTRTGCTGGATTTCCACCATTTGCAACCACAAGGATGTTGACTAATATCAGAACTTCAATCTGATGTTATAAACTGTGTCCTCTAGTTATTCTTAGTCACAGGCTTCCTTTAGGAAAGGCACCCAACCTCAGTGGGCTTGTGAGACAAAATCGGTTCTGAGTGACTCACACTTTAGAGCCTGAAGAATTCCCATCCTGACCTAATTACAAATGATATCTTTAAAAAAGCAGGCTTCACAACTCTCCTGAGATTGCCAATTAACTCATTGAGAAAAGATTCACTAATAAGGATGGTGGCCAAGTAAGTAGTAGGATTGACAACGGAGATTTCAGGAGGTTATTGTGTAAGTATTAGAAATACAATAGGGAGATGGTATAAGCCATTTCAAGAAGTCTGAACATGGGTAAGAACCAAGACACTGGAGTCTAATCTTCCCTCAGAGAAGATGTGCCATTAGGATGCACAGCTCCACCTGAGGTTCAACACAGATCTCCACTGACCAGATCCCCAATATGTGCCTGGTATATGGATAGCTACTTAGAATTAGGCTTTCAGGTAGAGAAATGGCCTAATTTGATTAAATGGAGTTCCATTAGGTAGACTCATTTTTTGCTGGTATTTTAGAAAAGTTAATAAATTTTAGAACAAACTTGAGAAGTAAGTTTTTTTACCTCTGGAAATATTGTTGTGTGGATAATGATGAGTTTCATTTGGCTTTTGAAGAGCTTTTTAATCCCAGGGTTGCTAAGAAAGTAGTTCACAAATTGAACCCTGAGATGGCCTMGAGGTTGCATCAGAGCAACTCTGTCTTTATAGGTGACCGCCTTCAGGTGGGTCCCCAGATGTGCACTCTATGGTGATTTGAGTGCCAGGGGTTAATTTGTGAGGCAGTGCCAGAGGAATGGGGAGGAAAAGGAGGGAAGCCATCCACTGTGGAGCAGATGAGTGTTTTGGGTACCTGGGGCTCAAACTTCACTGGAGAAGTGCGCGGGAGATGGTTGCTTTAAAACGTAGGTGTAGTTATTATTCAGGTCTGACAAGGCTGGAAGATCAGGAGATGATGAAAAGGTAACTTGTTACACTCGCAGATCTCAAGAGGAGGGGATGTACCCCACCCTGGAGAGGCCACCGAGGGAAGCACCAGGTTGGTGAGGAGGCCAAGGGCGTCAGGAGAAAACATGGGCCAAAGCCTTTCTTGTGGTTTCCGTGGGAAATAATGGGCAGGGAAGGAGCAGGCTGGTAGTGGGCTAGTTTGGATAATTTGGGCAGATCCTAAGGCAAGAGGGCTCAGTCATCTGGTACCTGGCCCTGGGGTGATTTGGTCAGGTGGATCATGGCCTAGAGGGGGAGCCAGTGAGATCATCTAAAGGAGGTGACCAAGGCGTGGGTTCTGGATGGGATGGTTTGCATATGACAAGTGCATCTGCAGGTTAAGTCCTCTCCTATCACTAGGAACTGGGCAGCCCTGGGAGGGACGGTTTTTCTGGAGTCAGCAAAGACTCCTCGGGCTAAGCACCGAATACAGAAACTAGAAAATGTGGTTATTACAGCAGCATAGCTGACACCTCAGAGTTCCCCTGCCAGGGCTATTTATCCATCAATTCCCATTTGTCATCAACGGAGGATGCTGCATAACACATTAACAACTCACACTGCTGAGAAAAGCTGTTAGGTGGGATTCCTACAGGTTTATAGAATGCAGGCGTGAACCGGGGCAGCGAGATGGGAGCCTGCACTACCGCACCTACGCACTAGTGTGCACTTTGTCTTGGTAAAAGTTTATAGTATAAAATGGAGTGTTTCTCTGATTCTAGGAAAAAAAAGAGCCATGAAAAATCTTTTAAAAGATTTAATGATGAGTCAACATTTGGAATCTAAGCTTTGTAGCCTTTTTTTTTTTTTTTTTTTTTTTTTGACTGAGCTTCAGTCTGAAGGTAAAATTACTGATGCTACCTCTGGCCTGGAGAATGTTTCTCTCCCTGCGCCTGCTGTGGTTGGGTCTCTGGAGAGCTGTAGAGAGAATAGCAATTAACAGGTAACTCTAACCTGTGAAAACAGATAAACAGTAGGCAGCCTCTGGAGTCAAGGGCAGAATGTGTCAAGAATTACACCCTCAAGCTTACAGGGAGTCTATCTCCTCTTCTTTTCTGATGATCTTTCTTCCCCTTCCCATCTCTTAAGGATCCTATCTCCATTCCTATTCCCAGGTCACCCAGTTTGTGATTATCCATTATTATTGTTCCATAACCTGGTCAAAGTTCTTAAATAAATTAGTTTTTGGTGCTTCAAGAGTCATTGAATCATTTCTTCAGTGAACATGTACTGAGAATTAGTGACACATGCCCAGCAGCAGCAGCAGGCCACCGACCAAGGCCTTCCGCATCTGGCCTGAACCTATGCTGGGTAGTGCAGAAGACAGGTCCATTCATTCTTTGTTCATTATCTTTTCATTAAAAAAAAGCCAGCATTGAAATTGTTCTTGCTCAAGTAACTGTCAAACTAAGTTCCTCTTCTTTGCACATGATCATTGATTCATTTTCCCTGAGTGTCAGCAAGAAACTGAGTAAAGGGAGGTCTCATCCCAGACTATAAGAGACCACTAGAGTAAGGGGTCCCAAACTGCAAAGTAAAAGTTGAAGTAACCTCCAGCCTCCAGACAAAATCCATATCTTCTCTTCTTTCCTACAGTCATCAAGTGCAGGAAAGCACATGCATCGTGAACCCTGTCATGGTGTCACTTTATGTCAATAGCTTCCATACCAACCAAGCCTAATTGGAAGCATGGTGAATTAAGCTCTGGCTGAGAGTTTCCTCTTTTTCTTTGTAAAGAATAAGTTATGCTGATTCTATTCATGAATTTTCACTCCCCCTCTCAAGTTGGTTTTTGTGGCTTTAATCCAAGCCTGTCATGTAGTCATTTTTCCTTTTGATAAATACCCCATTCAGGCCAGAAACTGCCCTAGTGAGCCCCAGCTGTGAGCATGGACCTGCAGTGGCTCTGTGACAGGTGACAGTGGCAGCATGTTCAAAKCTGGGGGAGGGAAGTCACCAAGGAGAGAGTGGGTGTAGGAAAGAGGCAGTCTTGAACCATAAAAAAGGCTCAGGGAGGCAGGAAGGGGAGAAAGGTGGGTGTGCTTGGCTTCGCTAACCTGAACCTCTTCCCAGGTATGCGAGGGCACTCTGCTGAGGTAGCTTGGAAGGCAGCTGCTATGGGTAAAATGTTCTTTTTCCTCCAAAAACCCATGTTGAAATTTGGTTGCTGCTTTGGCAATGTTAGGAGGCGGGATATTTCGGGGGCGATAGGGCCACCAAGGCTCTGCCCATGTGGATGACATTAACCCATGAAACCCCAAGTTTTCAGTTCTTTCAATGAAATTGGCACAGATGCATTAAAATAGGCTGAAAATCATAATCTAGAACTTAAACGTTATTATATTAATTAGCACTACATGAAGATATTATGATACAATTATACTCTTCCTATGTAATTGTATTATATGTTATGTACTATATTTAAATATGCATAGGTGTTCCATTTCAAGGGCAATGGGACAAAATGGGTTAATGTCATTACAGAAGGGTGAGTTTGGCCTCCTCTTGCCCTCTTTGTCCTTCTACCTTCTGCCATGTGATAATGCAGCAAGAATGTTCCTGCCAGATGCTGGCATCTTGACCTTGGACTTCTCAATCTCCAGAAATGTGACAAAATGAATTTCTGTTCATTAAAAATTATCCAGTCTCAGGTGTTCTGTTATAGCATCATAGAACAGATTGAGACAGACACCAATTCAAACCACCTACACTAGCCCTACCTCACTAGGCTAGGTGCCCCCTTTAGATCACCRTGACAGCCCGAATTTCAAAAACCCATCAGACTTGTGATTAGCATTTTTAGGGTAATTATATTTCTCTCCCATCAGACCTTAATTTCCAGCAATCAGCCTGTCCGGTCCACTATAAAATGTTGAAGGAATTGAAGGAATAAATGAGAACACACATGGTCCTGACAGTATGCAGCATCCTGACTGGTACCTAATACATAGCAGGTGACAATAAATGTTGAAAAATTGAACAAATCTATGAGTGTACAAGATGAACCAGCATGGAACACTGAGCAGCAATGTGATAACCACTTACTAAGCCCGAATAAAAAGGTGAAGCATGAAATTTGCTTTTCTTATGCAACAGCCACTAACATAATTGAAAAATACAATGTCCCTTGATCTAGAAGTTGCATTAATATGGTAGGTGATAATTATATTTTCACCCAGCTCTGAAATGGCTACTGGTTTGAAAATACCATTAAGGCAAAGGACAATTATGGTTGTTTGCCTTGGTATTTTTTTTTTAATGGCTTCAATTTTACACTCTTCCTGACTCATCATAGAGCATCTGCTTGCACACTCTGGCGAGGCCCAGATCAGCAGCCTGCAAAGATCACAGTCCTCAGGCACCAGATCAAGGGAGCAGGTCTGTATTGCCCAGGGCATCCTTAGCCCTCATCCCACATATGATACAGCAACCTAAAGCAGATTCTCTAGAGCCGCACCTGTTTTTAGACTCYGCGAAGGGAGCACACAGCTCCGGGTCTGGATCCAAAACATGCTCCATTTCCTTTGGGGCTTTTTCATACATCTTTTTTCTCTCAGTCAGACCCTTGTTTGCCTCCACTGGGGGGAAGTCATAGTACCCCTTCCTCTTGGCTTTGAGGCGCAGTTTGTTCCGATAGTGCTCGATGTCTGACTTCTGTTTCAGGGCTTTGTTCACCTGGAGGGAGAGACAGTCTTAGGCCACACCTGACCCAGCATGCCCAACATCTGGGGGGCTTTCACCAGAAGGTCACATCTCCTGGAAAAGCCAGCCTAGGCTTCACCTCTGGTCCTCTGAGCCAACCAGACTCACCTGGGTCCCCTTTTCACACCAGCCCACAAATAGCATGCAGCCTGGCTCTCACTCGGTCACCTGACCCCTTCCATCAGGACCTCCTTCACCCACTGTCCTGGGTGCTGCTCAGGCCCAGGTCTTACTCTTCACGCTTCATTTTGTGGTGCTGGTCTAATTCTTTCTTCATTCTTTTGGTTCCTTGATGTGGGGACCTTTGACCTGGTTCACCAGCTAGTTTTTATGTTCTGAGTCTAGTTCCAGCCCTGAGAAACCCGGTGGCCTCCCTTGGCCGTCTATTGGAGGCCCAGCTGGATGAGACCACTAGTCCCTGAGGCCTGTGAGTTGGGATGACTGGAGAAGGAAGGGTGGACAAGTGTCCTGCTCCTGAGGCCACACTATCAAACTGCACAAGGATGAACATTTCAGTAAATCAGAGAGACCATTTTGAAGCTTCATCTGGCTACTAATGCCAACCAGGTCCTGCTGGATGGGGCAAAGCCAGTCTGGTTTTTTAGAAAGGAACATGGCTAATGTCCCTCTGACCTGTGAAAGATACAGGCAGATGACCATGATTAATAAATAACAGAATGATAAGGAGTTTACGCCCACTTTGCTGAACTTTCTTTGTGGTTGTTTTCTTTAAAGTAATCTTTAAAAGAATTTCCTGTAATTCATAAAAGGAAAATTTATGGCTTTGGGGTTATGGTTTTTTTTTTCCATTTAAACCAGTCACCCATGAGAAAAGAAGAAAGAAAATTATAAAGCAATCTGTGTCAAGCTCYACAAGGCAGCAAATTACAGAGAACAGTTCAGGGCTCTCTTCCAATCCAAATGCCAGCAAGGTCCATTCCTTTAACTACCCAAATGTAGCAAGAATTCATTTCTGGACAAGGAAAATGCTCATCTGTTCTCCTTCTGTTGACAGGGTGATGGGCCTGGGAGGAAAAGGGAGTGGTAAATCACATCTCTCCCAGATTTGGAGTCTGTCTCCATGATGCTCTTATGATTAAGATGGGACAAAGAGACCCAGGCAAAGCAGCCATAATTAGGTAGAGGGTCCTAATTAAGAGCAGCTAATTCTTATTGGCCTCAGCACCCTGCATGTCTGATGGCAGAATTGCGCCCATGGAGATTCAGGGGTTTTGAGAAGGCATCCCAGCTATCAAATTATAGAGCCAAGGGGCACAAAGTACATGATCAACTAATCCATCCTTGTTGATTGATGGTAATAATAAAGTGCTTACTGTGAGTTAGGCATTGTTCTAATGCTTTACCTAATGCCTCAGAGCAGCCCTATTTTATGGATGAAGATGCTGAGGTACAGAAGATTTAACTACCCTGCCTAAGGTCACCCAGATGGCAAATGAAAGGGCTGGGATTCAAACCATTGTGGTATAGCTCAAGAGACCAATACTATTTTTTTCACCAATGGGCTGAAAAAAATTTTTTTTTAAAGAGAATGAAGGAACATTGGACATGGAGCCAGGGCACCTGAACATCATGGCTACCACAGTAATCTTCACTTTGACTTTGAGCAAGCCATCTGATCCCTTGGGCTCAGTTTTATTTATCTAAAAAATTAGGAAGGTGGAATGGATGCTCTATGAGTCTATATAACTGGTTGTTTTTAAAAGTCAACGATCACAACTTTACGCCAGCTCAGTCTTTCTGCCCAGAGGCACTTACTCAATCAGGTTCATAAAATGCTCGTGTAAGTATCCTGGATGGTGGAATAAGGACAACCCCGGATGGATGTTTACAACACCCGGTGGTACAGGGACTGCGACACTTTCTTGAGGTATGGTAGTAAAAAGACTTTAAAACTTCAGAAATCTCCCACCTGTTGGAAGTAACATCAGGGCATAAGCAAATGAAAGGCATGATCATCTCAATGGATTGGCATCAGAGGAAAGCATCAGAGTGTGAGTGCTTGTGTGTGCTCACATGCCCGCACCCCTGCGTAGCATAAGTGTTCATAAGCGGGTTCCGTATACACCTTCTTAAAGGTTCATAAACATTTTTAACCCTCTGACCATTTTTCTGCAGAAGACAGAGGATGGCAGGTAATTTTTACCTGACTTCTTGTTCTCCCTTGGAGATAGCATGGGCTCTGCCCCTCCCCCCATCATCTGTCAGTCATCAATTATCTATCAATTACCTATCACCTGTTTATCATCTGTCCTCATCTGTTATCTCTCTATCTAATTTTATTTGGTAAATCATCGCTTCCTAACATACGTTACCAATTTTTTTCAAACTCCAAGGAAAGTTGATTAATATCATGTTACCCATTGGTATTCTCCTCAAAGCAGCCAATGGGTTGTTTTGAGCTTTCTGGAACGAATAAATGCCATTTCAGAGCCTACAGCGGGCCCCATCCCTGTCCACACAATGATATATTCTCCACTTCCCTCTCAATTCACCCCCCTCCCATCACCATCACAATGACATCCTTAATGGCAATTTGGGGGTGTGAGGCAGAAGGCTGTATGCGTGAGGGGCAGGGGAAGTGGGATTTCTGATGTTCCTCTTCATCACCACACTTTTTAAAAGGCTCCCTCTGGGCTTTCAGAGAAGGCAGAAAATGCTCTGAAGGCGTCAACCATGGAAGTCTACCACGTGCAGAGGCAAAAATGACCTTGAGAGGCTGAGGTCAGCTCCGAATCCCTGAGGTCTGGCCACACTCTGCACAGGGTCCCTGGATGCTCACCTCCCCGTTGAGGACGGCTGAGGTCTCCTGGCTCCTGTCCGAGGTGGGGTGCACCACGGGGAGGGCTGCGGGTTTGATTGCGATGAGCTGCACAGACCCAGAGGACGTGTCGAAGGGATCAGCAGCCACCTTGCCAGAATTGTCAAAGAGGACAGGTCCCTCCTCTTCATCACTCGCTGGCACTGAAGCATAACATAAACACATTGATTTTACTATGATGTACGGGCGCTTCGTGGCCAGAGAGAACAGGCTGCAGTCTTGGCACCTAAGGATGCCACTTGACTCAAAACGACATCAGAGACAACAGCATCTGGATTTGTGTCCAGGGCTCATGGCTGCTTGTGGTTTTCTTTTAAATTTCAGATCGGTGCTATTTATCTGCCCCCTCCCGTTGCATTATCCATGGGCAAGAAAGAATTTTAAAAGTTTGAATTTAAACAGCAAACACCATTCTTCCAAAACTGTGACAAAACACATTTGAAAATGAATAAAAACTAAATTTGTCTTCTGTTTGAGTTGGAAATGGGAAAAAAAAAATTGGGCAAACCCCACAACTATTCTTAACATCTACCATCACCAGAGGCAAGCGTGCAGTGCAGTCCTGGTCATCAAAGTGACAACCTTTTGCATGGTGCCAAGATGGCAAGTCTCTCTTGGTCCACTGGCTACTCTCATTCTTGTTAATACTTTTTTTTTTTCTTTTCTTTTTCTTTCTGAAGGCTCGTTCTCCGAGAATTTGGGTTTTGGGTTTTTTCATTTGTTTAAAACAAAAGAAAGCTATAAAATAACCACCAGAGAAACAAATTAATTAAATAACTAATTAAATAGACTGATTACCACCAATGCTTGGTTAAATTAATTTCCCATCTGACAGATAGTTCTGCTGTGATGGCTGAAAGACACCAGTTGGCTTTGTGTTTTCCCAACTGAGCTTGACAGTGGTATCCGGGGCCAGTGGTATCTTGCTGATTTCCTTGTTCTTAAAGCATATTCCTAGGAAGTAACTATAGGAATGACAGCTTATTGAGCGTGGCTCCGCAAGAGATAAATTAAGCCTGTTCAAACAACTACACGAGCAGACAGTTTAGAAGCAAAATAGGTGTTATATAAAATATGAATGTAATGGAAGTGTATTCATCTTTCCTCCTGCCTGCTCAGGAGACTGGGATGATGTTTAAATTATTGAGAAACACATAGTATGTATCATTCTGTCACTTATCATAATCACAGAAGATCTGTCAAATTAAGCCAAGTAAATTGTTATTTTACAGTGTGGATAAAACACCTCCGAGTCTAACAATGGGTTATAATTAGATTTTTTTCTTTTTTAGAGTTTTGTGGACTGATTTGCAAAGAGTAGTTCACCAAGCAGCCAATGACAGAGGACAATCTCTATTCAGACATGTTGCTAGATGTGTATATATTTTTAGAGGGTAGCTTAGCTGGGCACCTCTTGTCTGGTCACCACTACCATTTCCCACCTGCACGTGGTAAACAAACCATATGAGATAACCAGCCTCTAAGCTGGCTCCTAATAATTCTCATCTCCTAATTCTCACACAATGAATAGAACTGATCTAGGAAACCAAGAGGAAATTGCACAAATGACAGTGTGTTACTTCCAAGGCTTGGTGGTAAATTGTGGAAAGCCATCTGTGGGCTGTGTGTGGACTACATCATGCACCGCAGCCCAATGCATAGGTGAATTGGGTCTCTGGGAATTTCCAGTGGACATTTCCTCTGATCGACTGCCCAGACACATCATGAGCCTTATTTAAGCTCTTCCCCAGGTCCCACACAGCACGGGAGATGGGATGACCTGCTACAACCACAGCTGCACAGCCCCTCTGAGATGGGTGTGGCCTGCCAAGATGCCAATCAACCTGCTGACTGTGAGACCTCATGAAGCAAAATTCTGCCCTTGAAACCTTACCTTTGCCTTTGATGTACCCCCTTAAATAAACCACAGGAGCCATTTTCTAATTGTCTAGCTCCAGCGCCTGTGTGGACTGGACCTATAGGGCTCCATCTTTAAAACTATCCTTTCTCACTGTTTGTCTTTTGTTTTTCACTAATTATTCTAGAACTTTAATTTCTCAGGAGGATTATCCCTCTGAGCAGGCAAGAAATTCCTGGTGATTGCACACCACTCTGCGAGAGTAAATAATAATTTAAAAAATACCATGATGTCTTCCACCTTGCTTTCTGGGGAAAACCAGCAGCCATGTTAGGAGGACACTCAAGCAGTACTATGGAAAAGTCCATCCGGCAGGGAACACAGGCTTCTTGCCAACAGACATGTGAGTGAGCCATCTGCAGGCTCAGTCAAGGTGWTAGTTGACTACAATTTACACCTACATCTTGACCATGATCTCATGAGAGACCCTAAGCCAGTATCACCCAGCTAAGCCACTGCTAAATTCCAGACCCACAGAAATTATGAAAGACAATAAATACAGATTGTCATTTTAGGTCACTAAGTATAGGGGCAATTTTGTTACATGTATACCTTCTAAGCAATCACCTACCTTGGCATTTCCACTCTTATCCCTTTACCCCTAAATGCATATTCCCCAGCAGCAAGGATGGATGAATTTTGAAAGGGAACAAGATCACATTATGTCTCTGATCAGAACCGTCTGCAGACTTCATCTCTCCCCTACAGGGACCTGGGGGGAGCTGGTGCTGGCCACCTCACAGAGCCCATCTCCTACCCACTAATCCATTCTGCTCCATCACAGTGACCTTCTCAGAGGCCAGTCAAACAAGAAGAGCTCAATACTTTTTTGCAGTCTAGCAAAGTGACAAAACCATGCATTTCTATTTTCACCTGCTCTGTGTTTTGCTTTAGCCTTCCCCTTCTCAGACTGCAATTTCTAAAGATCTTTCCATGCCCAGTACCTTCTTACTTTTTCAAGTTGCAGCTTGAATACTATTTTCCCTAATCACCAGCCTACAACCACCCCTTGTTATACTTTCTTCATTGCTCTTAGCATTACTGATTTGATGTACTGACAATGTGCCCTTGCCCTACCACTAGCACAGAAGCTCAACTCCTGCCCATCTTTTCAAAGGCTGATGCTTCTTGCCTTTCAATGGTGTTTCCCATGGATCTGGCTTTCAATAAGTATTTGGTGAATAAATGAATGACTGAATGAATGGCTCAGTTTTCTTGACTTGGGAAAGGAGATATGAGGGCCAGAAAAACAGGTGCCAATGTGGATGTTAAAGTCATGCTATCACTAAACCATTCAGAGGTGAAGAGATGGCATGGAGCATTTTTATTGCTTCTGGGTTTGACACCTTCACCCCTCATGCTGTGGGCAGCATGATTATAACAGGACAGGAAAATGACATCCTAGAAATTGTATAAGTTACAGTTCTATTTCTACTTCAATTTGGAAAAAAAAAGTCATATCCAGATTTGTACAACAATTCCTCTAGGTTTTTAAGATTAATTAGTTATCCTCTTTCCAAAAAGACTTTACAGAAAAATACATTCAAAGACATCATGTTAAATATTAATGCATTAAATGTTGTGTGATAACAGAAGGTTCATGGGGATTTTAAATCATAATTAGTCCCTAAAGTAAAAAGCATGGAAGGATGCTAAGGGCAAGGGCCACAGTTAGGCCGAGGAAGGGTTTTGGGATGCTATCAATACAGTAGATGCTACTACGCCACCATTTCCTATCTTGTTGTACTTTATTTGCATTGTTGGTTTTTATTTCAGTAAATCAAGTTAGAAAAAGATTTCACTCTTCATGTTCAATTGGCATGGGGAAAACCCTCCCACTGGAGGCAGAAATGCTATTCAAACATGTTCTTTCTGAAATGTTCATTAAAGCCAAAGACAAATAAATAATCTACAACTAGAATCACTGCCCTCTGGTGTGATTTGATATGCTGATTACCATGATGTGATCATTCCACACATATACAGGTACTGAAAAATCACATGGTACCCTATGAATATCTACAATTATCATTTGCCAGTGAAAACCAAAATGAGTAAAAGCAAGCCTCCACATCATTGGGAGAGCAAAGAATAAATGAGAACTGAAACTGTGTTTTTGAGCTAGTATCTCTGACATTCTTCCTTTATGTCCTAATTCTAGACCTTTCCCTAAGACCCCTGCTGAGAAAGCAATTGACTCTAATGCCTCATTTGCCCATGGATGTTAGATTCTGGGCCTGATAGTGAAATCTGAATGACACAGGATTTAAGGAGGTTGTTTCCTCCTAAAGGGACTGAAATATTTGAACTTAACTCTCTTTTGGAAAACACCTTTCAAAGGTGACACTAGGTTTAAGTGAAAATGTTTATATTTGGTTGAGGAAAACATCCAATTGTTCTTGTTGTCACATCTAACTTTCCCATTTATATTTCAACGTTTTCATGAAACTGCATTGCAGCTATGGTCACTAAGAGGCCATTGGGCTACAAGGAGCTGTGGAAGTGATGTTTGCTAGCAGGAGAGTGTCTTTTCCTCTTAAAGTTCTTATTTTCACAAAAGAAGAATATTAGAAGCTACAAAAACTGGTGCAACAAAACTGGTGGAAAATAAGATTAGCTTTAGAATGTCAGCCCAGCACATTAACATTAATTAACCTCTGTAACCCTAGCTTCTAGAACACACACCAAGTCATAAGACAACAGTACTGGAATGTTCCACACCAACAGAAGAATCTGTACTCAGAGGCCAAACGAGAAGAGCTCAATACTTTTTGCAGGCTAGCAAAGTGACAAAAACAYGCCTTTCTATTTTCTCCACAATCCCATTCAGTGTTTTCCCCCCTCCCTCCCTCCCTTCCATCCATCTTCTAATCCAAATACATTATTGATGTTTATTGGTTAACTTTTATCTAGTATTACAATAAAAAGGAGCCCTTTGATTAGAAAAAGACAAATGTGGATTTCATAAAAGATTGATTCTAGAATGCCAATGTGGTTCTGCACTGATTGAGTTTTATATAAAATGAGTGAGTTGGTTCTGTCATTCCTAGTTGGAAATTTTAATCTTTAACCTCACTGAATGGAAACTTACAGTAAAACAGAAACAATCACTGAAAATTCACTGTGTTTACTTGGCAAAAGTAAAATGTGAGCGAATAAGCACTCTAAACCTGGGAAGGATAGTTTCTTAATAAAACAAACAAAAACCTCAACCTGGTACAGTAACTGCATTTTCTTCACACATCTGTCTATTGCTATTTCTGGACCTGCCTTTTGTTTGTTTGTTTTGGGTTCCTTTTAGTTATATCTGACAGTAGAATTCATTTTGATATAAATGTACAATCGGCATAAAAATAGGAAAAGAAGAACTTAAATTATCACTATTTGCAGATGACATGATTCTATACCTAGCAGACCCAAAAGGGTCTACAAAGAAACTATTAGATCTAATAAATGAATTCAGCAAAGTGGCAGGATATAAAATCAACACGCATAAATCAAAGGCATTCCTGTATATCAGCGACAAATCCTCTGAAATGGAAATGAGGACAACTACTCCATTCACAATATCCTCAAAAAAAAATACTTGGGAATTAACCTAACAAAAGAGGTGAAAGACTTATACAATGAAAACTACAGAACCCTAAAGAGAGATATAGAAGAAGACCTTAGAAGATGGAAAAATATACCCTGTTCATGGATAGGCAGAAATAACATCATCAAAATGGCGATATTACCAAAAGTTCTCTATAAGTTCAATGCAATGCCAATCAAAATCCCAATGGCATTTCTTGTAGAAATAGATAAAGCAATCATGAAATTCATATGGAAAAATAAAAGACCCAGAATAGCAAAAACAATGCTAAGCAGGAAGTGTGAATCAGTCGGTATAGCGATACCAGACTTCAAACTATACTACAGAGCAATAGTAACAAAAACAGCATGGTACTGGTACCAAAACAGGCGGGTGGACCAATGGTACAGAATAGAGGACACAGAAACCAATCCACAAAACTACAACTATCTTATATTTGATAAAGGGGCTAAAAGCATGCAATGGAGGAAGGATAGCATCTTCAACAAATAGTGCTGGGAAAACTGGAAATCCATTTGCAACAAAATGAAACTGAATCCCTTTCTCTCGCCATGCACAAAAGTTAACTCAAAATGGATCAAGGAGCTTGATATCAAATTAGAGACACGGCCTCTGATAGAAGAAAAAGTTGGCTATGATCTATATACTGTGGGGTCGGGCTCCAAATTCCTCAATAGGACACCCATAGCGCAAGAGTTAACAACTAGAATTAACAAATGGGATTTACTCAAACTAAAAAGTTTTTTCTCAGCAAAAGAAACAATAAGAGAGGTTAACAGGGAGCCTACACCCTGGGAACAAATCTTTACTCCTCACACTTCAGATAGAGCCCTAATATCCAGAGTATACAAAGAACTCAAAAAATTAGACAAAAAGACAACAAATAACCCAATCAACAAATGGGCCAAGGACCTGAACAGACACTTCTCAGAGGAGGACATACAATCAATCAATAAGTACATGAAAAAATGCTCAACATCGCTAGCAGTCAGAGAAATGCAAATCAAAACCACCCTAAGATACCATCTCACTCCAGTAAGATTGGCAGCCATTATGAAGTCAAACAACAACAAGTGCTGGCGAGGATGTGGGGAAAAGGGTACACTGGTTCATTGTTGGTGGGACTGCAAATTGGTGCAGCCAATTTGGAAAGCAGTATGGAGATTTCTTGGAAAGCTGGGAATGGAACCACCATTTGACCCAGCTATTCCCCTTCTTGGTCTATTCCCTAAAGACCTAACAAGAGCATGCTACAGGGACACTGCTACATCGATGTTCATAGCAGCACAATTCACGATAGCAAGGTTGTGGAACCAACCTAGATGCCCTTCAATAGATGAATGGATAAAAAAAAAATGTGGCATTTATACACAATGGAGTATTACTCTGCATTAAGAAATGACAAAATCATAGAATTTGGAGGGAAATGGATAGCATTAGAGCAGATTATGCTAAGTGAAGCTAGCCAATCCTTAAAAAACAAATGCCAAATGACTTCTTTGATATAAGGGGAGTAACTAAGGACAGAGTAGGGATGAAGAGCAGGAGAAGAAGATTAACATTAAATAGGGATGAGAGGTGGGAGGGAAAGGGAGAGAGAAGGGAAATTGCATGGAAAGGGAAGGTGATCCTCAGGGTTATACAAAATTACATACAAGAGGAAGTGAGGGGTAAGGGAAGAATAATACAAGTGGAATAAATGTTTTACAGTAGAGGGGGTCGAGAGAGAAGAGGGGAGGGGAGRGGAGGGGAGGGGGGATARTAGAGGATAGGATAGAGAGCAGAATTCATCAGACACTAGAATGGCAATGTGTAAATCAATGGAAATGTAACTGATGTAACTGATGTGATTCAGCAATCTGTATACAGGGTAAAAATGGAAGTTCATTAAAAAAAAAGAAAAGAACATGAATAAATAAATAAATAAATAAATAAGAAAAAAAATAAAAAGAATAGTAACATAATCTGAAAAAATAAATAAATAAATAAATAAATGTAGAAGCACGGAATGTATCTTATTCTAGTTAGGACCCCATTTTTATGGATGTACATGATGGTGGGATTCACTATGATGTATTCATATAAGATGGACCACCTATTTAAATAGTCAGTGACTTAAACATAATAAGGAGGCAGGCAGAGCAGGTGAACAAACAGGAACAGTGAAGGACAGCAGGGACACTTAGAGCAGGTCACAGTGTCTCCAGGGGGGCGGGGAGTGACTCGATCAATAACTGGCTGCTTCYTCTTCCTCCATGGGTTAAATACAGGAGAGGGCAAAGGGCATCATGTTATGAATGTCTACTCATTGTCAGAGAAGTCTGTACTTTGCACATTTTTGAGCAGGAAAAAGGGCATAGGATAATATGTACATTGATTCCATTTCATAAAAGAAAACAAAGCAAGATAACAAAACACAAAGATAAGTGCATGTTATTGTATGCATAGTAAAAAGGTCGGAGAAAGACATACACTGAGTTATTCAGGGTTACATGAGGCCTGAGGAGGGTGAGTGGGGAGGGAGGGTAGAATAATATCATCTGGACTAGGGGTCAGTGACCACTGCAGAACTTGTATCCCTTGGTACCTCAGAGGGTTGGTTCCAGAATACCTACAGATAACAAAATCTGTGGATGCTCAAGTCCCCTACATAAAATGGCATAGTATGTCTTCCCATGTACTTCAGATCATCTCTAGGTGACATGACAGTTTAAACAGGTGCTTTACAAAATAACTGGAAATAAGGATGGAGACTATGTTTTCTCTCTGGAATGCAAATCCACTCTGTGTGTCTATCTTTCTTTTTTCATTTCTCTCTCTCTCTCTCTCTCTCTCTCTCTCTCTCTCTCTCCAGAAAAAAAGAAATAAGTGACATTTGAAAACAAAATAATATTCTGGCACTAGCTTCAAGAGAGAGTTCCTGAACTTCACTTCATCAAATTCCTGTAAAAGAAAAGTGCAGCCAAGCACAGTGCCAGATTGCTTAGCTTTTCACCTGGCATTTCTCTACAGCTCCACCTATAACCCTTTGAAATCCAAAAGGAATTTTCCCTGATCTGAAACCAGCAGCACCAATCGCTTGTACTCTGCTCTCCAGTATGCAGCCTCACGAGCAGAAGGACCACATGGGGATGAGGGTCAGAACAAAGGTGGGATCAGGAGAGGGGGAATGCACATTGATGTCCAACAGAGGTGATCTATAGCACAATAAGGGAGCTCAGGCAACCCAGAAATAGACCTCAAACACATCCTTTATGGGAAATGAAATGATCTGTGTGAGACAGAAACCAAACACTTAAGTTTCCCAGAAGAATTCAGCATAAAGCTGATTTTTTTTTTTTTTTAATCACAGATCTGTTCATGGTCCCCTGCCCCAGATGTATTTGCAATATCTCGACTCACTGGTACAGACTGAACCCCCTGAAACTCATCAGGGGTATCAGGGCGAGAAATTGAAGAAAATCTCAAAGAAGGGCAACATTTCTGAGACCTGCTACCTTAATGGACCCGAAGCTAGAAATCATGTGGATTCACTGAAGAAGTTGAAAAATCTCTAAGCAAGCATCAAGTCGTCCTGCAGAGGGATTTTCTAAGGAACAGCACAATTCCTTAAGAACAGAGCGCAGAGAGAAGAGGACGGGGCAATTCAGAGAAGGAGCTATGGTGATCACCCAAGAGGTTCACAGCCGACTGGGGGTCCTTATCCTGCAGAAGAGGAGGACCCGGTTCGTGCGACACATGCGCAGGCGTGTGCGCGGGCACGCGTGGGAGGGGCTGGTGGTGCTTGGCGGGAAGGCGTCTCACCATTTCTCTTCCTTGCCTCCTCCTTTGTCACTTTCTGCTGTGCCATGACGTTCTGGGGTGAGCGTCTCCCTGAGCTGGGCTTCCCTGATTCGTTGCTGATGACAGAGCCAGTCTCACTGGGCGACCTGCTGGAGGTAACCATAGCAACAAGGGAGACCGTAAGTTTCGACTAGAACAGCCGCCTCTCAAGGTTATTTGCACAGTTGATGTCTGTAGCCTTTCGTTCCAGTTTTACCGGCAAAGAAGAAATGATACAAGAAAAGAAGACAACAAAACCCACCCACACTGCTGCATGGGTGAGGCTGGGGGTGCTGAAGCGCACTCGCCCATGCCCGGTTCCGCAGACAAGTTAGGGGAGCGCAGCCCTCAGTCCCATCGCGGTTTCGTTAACACCCTGGTGACTATGGAAACAATGGCCACCGTGATTGTGTAGCACGTCCTCCTTTCAACACAGAGCACTTTTGATGCTGAGTGTTTGAATCCCCCGGGCGTCTTCAGACATGTATAGAACACAGTTCTCTTTGGCTATTCTCTTCATGGTATTGACCTTAGAAACTACAGACTAAGTCACCCCACAGGGTCTTCACTCTGTCAAGTCTCTCTCTCTCTCTCTCTCTCTCTCTCTCTCTCTCTCTCTCACACACACACACACACACACACACACACACTTACACAAAATATAGTGAACATTTCCCAAACTGAGAGGGGTGTGTGGAAATTTAACTATAGGAACTAGTAAGCACTTCTATTTTGAAACTGCCAACTTGAGCTATTTGTCCCTTCAGAAATATGTATGGTCCCCCTTCTTTGTGCCAAGCATCATACCAGGTAAACAGGTCTATAGACACAGTGGTGCCAATCCATATTGAGCACTCTCATCAGGAATATCTTCTGTGTGCCAAGGACTATGCCAAGTACTTCCAGAACTGGTCAAGAGTCACTAGAATGATCCCCTGATTTGGTGATGGCCAGCCTCATACAAAGAGGGGAACATGAAGCTCATGACCCTGAAGAGAGCTGTTGGGGCAGAGTTGGGCAGTAGTGAACCAGCCAGGAAACCAGGGCTGCCCTTCCACCCACACCCCAGAACACCCTCCTTCCCTGTCTACAGCAGCAACCCCATTGAGGGCAAGCCATGGCCTTCTTTCCTTTCCTCAGGGCTAGACTCCAGCCTTCTGGAACTCTGGAAAAGTGGGCTCTCAAAAGTCCCCCATAGATTGGCACTCTCTGAGCCCTCAGATCCTGCCACTGTGGGTAGATGGAGCACAAGGGCCAACCGCCTGCCTCCTCTCTGTGGAAGATGGTCAGCAGGCAGCTACCTAGATAGGACTAGCCTCTTGGTCTTCTACTGTCAATTGTCCAACTAATGCCCAAAATACTGGCATCTGGATCCTACAACAGAAAATTGACTAGAATGAAAGCCCCTGACCTGTAGACAAGCAGCTTCTTAGGTAGAAGCTGTGTGCCCTGCAGACACTCATTTTCCTCCTCCTCTTCCTTCCCCAGGAATTTAGAGTTCTCAGTTCTACATACATTAGCACCTTAAAAGCCACCTGCAGTGAATGTTGGGATACTTACAGGACAAGACAGCATCTGTTGAATATTCTATAGAACACTAGAGCCAAAGGTCCACACACCCCTCTCAGTTTGGGAAATGTTCACTATATTTTTCCTTTGGGGATTCTAAATGACATTAGCATACAAAAGGCTTTGATCAGTTCTGTCAAAAATAGGCTCATCTAGTTCCATTAGCATTTACTATAGCATTTCCCAATTTATTTAGCCATAAGTCTCTTTCACCATGAAACCTTTTAAAATCATTTAAAAACACTAATACAAAAGGTATTTTCTAGAAAAACATGGATCGGGTATTAATTTGTTGAATATGTATTATTATTTATCTAATAACTATTTGTTCACTGAATGCTGGGTGTCAAAATTCACATACACAGCGAAGACTCATGCCCCTGGATTGTTTTCAGAATCTCATAGTTAAAGGAACCTACTCCCCCCATTGGTTTTATTGGAGCAAAAAAGTTTTCATATAGGTCCAGACAGGAAGGAAAAAAATCTCTTTGTAATCTGTTTTTACATTTGCAAATTACTTAATGATTTTTTGGTGGTATTTTCATACCCTTTCCATTCCTTGATGCTGAATCAATTTTCTGACTCCTTGTACTCATTCCAAGGAAAAGTGTCAACGAGCAAATTTCTATAGAGAAAAGCTAAGTCTGCTTTATTTTTTGCATCAGTTTGTAGAGCTCTGTTTACATGAAGTCATCGACTCAAAACTCCTGGTCAAGAGTTGAGGTTGTGGAGCAGTGGTAGAGTACTTGCCTCACCTGTGTGAGGCACTGGGTTTGATTCTCAGCACTGCATATAATTAAATGAATAAAATAAAGGTCCATCAACAACTTAAAAATATTTTTAAAAACCTCCTGTTCAAAATTCCTATGCACACAGGCACTCACATAACAGTAATATAAGTGATTTTGAAAGCACAAATGCACCACCTGTGGGATTGTAGTTTTACACTATTGAACTCAATGGTCCCCATTCTGAAGCTATGTAGAGGTGGACACGAGAGGAATTCTTTGGGGTGGGAACTAATCAATTGATGAACAATTATGGCCAGTCATTAATTTAAGTGCCCTTTGCAAATGGCTGAATATTCCTATGAGGTTGGTTCTCCATTCTGGCCTATCAATTCCAGCCAGAGACCAACAAAATAACATCATCAAGACCCTAGATGGAAGAAAAAGATCCTTTTGCCACACATCAGGCTATCTAGAAGTGAATGAATCCTCAAATTTCTGTTCTAAAATAATTTAAAAAAACATATTAATAATTACCAATTAATTGGTTTCCTCTATTTTTAATCTGCAAACCTTTTTTTGGTCATCGAACACACCCATCCTGTGAGGCCCTACAGTCCTTATCAAGCTGGAATGAGGAGACGGATGTGGCAAGATAGGGAAACCAGAAGCATGGATTTGGTGTTTAAAATCTTTCTGAATGATCTTGAGCCATGACTTGACTAGAAATGAGGTTTCTCCCAAAGCCTAGGCAGTGATATAGTCAATCCTTAGTAAAATTCTATTTTTATAGTAAAATAATGAAGCTAATAACTTATGCAGCAGTATAGGCATTATTTTAGTTATCTATATTTACCTCATAAGATCATATTTCTTAATAAGAATTTGATAGTAAATAAATGAACTCAGCAAGAGGTGACTCCTTACTAATCTAAAAAAAATGCTTATTCTAAAATTTTGTAAAAAATTAATCTTTCAGTAATTTATTTAACTCCAATAGACCTCTTCCTGGAAGTGTTAATATCATAATTTTAGTAATACTAATTCTTTCTTTTCAGTATCTTTTGACTAGGTGATAAATAAGTTGTCAATATGTCTTTATCATACTTGGCAAAGATGAGGGTAATTGCTATAGGTAATATTACTTGCAAGTCAGTTCAGATAAATCATCTATTGCTTCTCTGTACATTTCAACTCTGCTCTGCTCAGGGTCTCCCACCTGCTTAATCCATTGCAGTAACGGTCACAATTTGTTTATACTTCTCTGTAACCAAGTTTTGTGGCCTCTTCTCCCACACTGTCTCTGAACTTGACCATGTGACTTGCTTTGGCCAACAGGCCAGTAGCAAACATGACGCAAGCAGAGACTTGAGAAATGCTTACATTTGAGGGCTTATTTTTCTTGCTGCCCTGGGAACCTTGGAAAGCCAGGGCTAGCCTGTTGGAGGATCAGAGACGAGGTGGAAAGAGGTCCCACTTACCTGGGCTACCCCCAGAAAGGGCTATCAGCACTGAGTCAGCCTAGCTGACTTGATCTCTGTCACCTGACTGGAGATGCAGGAGCAAGTCCAACTGAGACTGAAGAACCAACCAGTGGAGCTCAGCCCAAACTATCAGACCACCAAAATCATAAGCCAAATAAATGGTGGTTGTTTTAAGCAATTAAGCTATGGAGTGGGCGGTTACAGAACAACAGATAACTATTGCACATTCCTTCAACCTTCTTTCCTGAACAAGGTGAAGCCCAACCCTCTTTTTGAGGTATCAAGAATTTCTGAAAGAAAATACAAGGTTCCTGCTTGACTTACCTGCATATCTCTAGGCATCTCAAACTCTCCATGCCCATATCTAAACTCGTGATCATCCTCCACAACAATCGTCTTCTTCAGTCTCCAACAGAATAAATGGATAATCCACTCTTCTCAATTTCCAAATCCCACAACATTCTATCAGCAAATCTTGTCAGCTCTTCCTTTAAAATATTTCCAGAATCCACCCCTTTCTCACACAATGGCCCAATGGTCCCCATGCCTTCTCACCTGAACCACTGCCATAACCTCCTACAGGGCTCTCTGCTTCCACTCTGCACCCCTGCGGTCTCTTTTCCACATAAAGCCAGAGTGCRCCTTTAAGTCATGTTGTGTTGTTGCTCTTCTCAGACCCCTCCAATGATTTCTGACCTTTATTCAATAAAGTTCCCAGTCCTGACTTTGGTCTGTAAAGTCTGCCATGAGCAGCCACAGGTAACTTCTCCGACTCACACCACTCCTTCCTTCCTAGTTCACACCAGCCTCCTTGGCCTTCTTGTTCTTCTTTAAGCACATCAAGAAGTTCCCTCCTCTGGGCTTTGCACATACTCTTCTGTCTACTTAGAACATTCTTCCCACAAACAGCCTCCTGGCTGACACCTCATTTCAATGGGTGCGAGGTCTTTCTTAAATGTCATTTATCAGAGAGGTCTTCCCTGGCTGCCCACCTCAAACAGTGCTATGCCCTGTTCCCTCCATCCCTTTGTTGCATTTCAGTTTTTGTTATGGTTTGGATCAAGAATGTCCCCCCAAAGCTTAGGGGGACATTAGGCAATACAGCAATGTTCAGAGATAAAAAGATTGGCTCATGAGGGATCCCACATCATCCATGGATTAATTCACTTGATGGATGAATAATTTGAATGGTCTACAGAGGTATGGTGAAAACCACAGGCAGGTGGGACACGGCTAGAGGAAGTAGGTCACTGGGGGCTTGGCCTTGGGGACTACATCTATCCCTGGCCTGTCCTGTGGTGCTCTATCTGCTTCCTGGCTGCCATGAGCCGGGAAGCTCTCCTCGGCCTTACCCTTCTGCCATGATGGTCTACCTTGGAGCCAACTAACTGTAGGCAGAGTCTTTCTACAAGACAAAATAAATTTCTTATGAGTGTTCTTTTCAGGTATGTTAGTCAAAACAACAGAAATCTTGCCAACATAGTTTTCTTTTTTATTTTATCCACTGGACCTGGAAATAGACCTTTTCTATTCCTCTATTTGTTTATTGCCTGTTTCTCCACACCAGGTTGTAAGCTCTGTGAGAATAGGAACTTTGCCTTGTTCGGTGAAGTATTCCTAGTGCCTGACAGACAGACAGCAAATAAGCAACTGTTCGATAAAGGGAGGAAAGAAGGCTGGATGCAGGCAAGACGTGGCTTTTCTACCTTGATAGTGATCTCAGGCAAGGAAAAGGGGGTTGGCATGAGTGTTGGTTTTGCCAGGCAACAGTGCCTGCCATGGGGCTCATGACCTCTTTATAAGGCCAAGTCCTAATAATGAGTCTTTGGGTCTCTAACCTAACCTCTCCCATCTATCTAGATTGTATTAAAAGTAGTCCTTCAAAAATGCAGGCTGGCCATCACTGTCTCCCTGGAGAACTTTCAGTGTCTAGAGAATAAGGGTCCATCTCAGTCTGGCAGTCATTAATCCATCTTCTGGTTTTATCCTTTGCTACATCCCAATCACTGTGACCTCTAAACTCCAGGAATATTCACCATTCAGAGGACATCCCTGTCCTTCCCTCCCAGCTCTTGCAGATGGATGCTTTGATCTCTTCCAGGACTCAGACCCTTCCTGCCCTCAGGGCTGAGCCAAAACAACCTGCTCCACCCTGTCTCCCTGCACAGCACGAGGTTCTCCCTCCTGTCTATGCCACAGCCCTTTACTCAGACCCCACTGCGGGCACCCACACATCAGCATGCTCAGTGTCCCATTATTTATCTCTGTCTCCTCCGTCACGAGATCCTTGGGGTCAGGAATCAATCTTACACATTCTTGTAGGCCTCCAAATGCCTGTCAAATGCTCTGTTCATAGTAAAAACTTAATAAATAGTTTTTGCTGAAATCAGAGAAAACACAACAATCCTGAATCAAAGGCACTGCTTTTTAAGAGACACTAAAAACACAAGGGTGATATTACAGCCAAATTTGTTAGAGCAAACAGAGGGGCTGAATCTCCACTGTTGAGGTTGAGCCACAACATAAAGCCTCACAAAGGGTAGCTGGAGTGGAGCAGGTGTTGAGATTCTGTGATCTCCCTTAGTCTCCTTTTCAATATTCAAAATGAGCATGGAGGGGAATTTTTAAGGGGAACAGCAGAATTCACTTGAGACACACAGTCCCTCTCTCCATCCATTATCTCTCTTGCTGACACTGAGAAGCAGCAGTGGGCCCCGTGCCTACCTTTTTCTGGTTTCCGTGGACTTGGCTGTCTTGATGGTGCTCCCGTCCTGAGCGATGTCTCTTTCCTGAGGAGCATCTCTAACGGGCAGGGGGAGGACTACCGTTTCCTGAGTCACAGGGATGACCTCCTCATCTGCCCCTTGCTGGCCCAGGTGCTGCTTGGCATAGTCAAAGCCTTGCACGGGCTGCAAAGAGGACAAAGGATTGTCATATTTCTAGAGAAAAATTTTCTAGACAGGCAGCGACATGCATGTGAGGGGGCCCAACTTAGCTTTCTGATGAATCAGAGTTAACTCAAATCCCCATCATGACTCTGTCTTGCAAAACCAGAATCTGTTTTAGTTCTTTCCAGGTACAGAACCTCTACAGAAAAGACTTGCTCAGAAAAAGGAAGAGTGTAAACAAGATGCAAAGAGGTATATAAGAATGAGAATAAACTTCTTCCAGGACTTGAGACCATTTTTTTTTTAACTTGGGATTGAAACCAAGGGAACTTTACCACTGAGCTACATCTCCACCCCTCTTTATTTTTTTATTTTGAGACAGGGTCTCACTAAATTGCTTTGGGCCTTGCTAAATTGCTGAGGCTGGCCTCAAACTTGTGATTCTGCCTCAGCCTCCCAAGTCTGGCATTAGACCATTCCTTTTAAGTCAAGGATACTGATAATTTGGAACAGTTGTTAATTGATATATTAAAGTATTCCAGATCCTATTATCTCCTGCCTTAAAGTATTTGACTCCCCTTGAACTCGACTCCCATATAAATTTATTGTGTAATAACAAGTGCATGGCTTTTCCAAGTCATTTGATTTCTGAATGTCCATTTTCTCGTGTGAAAAATGAAGGCAATCTTATCTGCTTTGCTTCCACCATCCCCGAGTATCAACGCGGAACACAAATCTGGAAACAGGGAAACATGGTACCACATGTGATTAATAACAACATGGAACTGAGGGCATCACTCTTTGATCTAGACTCCTCCCTTGAGCAGACTGGCTGTGCTATAATTCATTCTTGGGAAGTTAGCAAAGCTTTTATTGTACAATATCTGAAATTCCAAGTGAATAAGACAGTTGAGGGCAAAATCCAACAAGCAGCTATTAGTAGGGTAGTGAAAAATCAGGAGGATTGTTTAAACAATTCCTGCAGCATCTCTATTCCATTTTTTTTACCCCAATGCAGTATGGTACAGATTTGAAGTGGGACAGTGTGATATTGAGTGGCAGGTCCAAAAGCAGGCTTCAGATCCTGACCCAACCACGCATTAGCTGTGTGACCTCAGGGAAGTGACTGACATTCTTTGGCATCAGTTTCTTCACCTGTAACATGGAGATAATAATAGGGATAATAATCCCCATGCCATGAAGATTAAGTAAGTCAAGCTCATCATTTAGCTAAGAGCTTGGCTCATAGTAAGTGCTCAATCATTGGTGTTAGGTATGACCATCTACCTTCCTAATAATCATATCTCAGGTGAAATGAACTTTAGCTATTCTCTTCCAGAAAATCTGGAGATGAGAGTCAACCCCTACCATTTAGAGTCTATCAGAACTTGATCTGACCAGGAGCTCCTCCCTTGGCAGCTAACGTGTCTAAGAAGCACACCAGATTTAACAACCCACCGTCTAGAACTGTGGTGAACCTGTCAAACTTCACAACTGCGTCCCCGAACAGGTTAGAGTTTTCCTGATGCATCCAGCAAAGATTGAGAGAAGACAGGCAGCCACATGCATGTGAAGGAGCCCAACTTAGCTTTTTGATGAACCAGAGTTAACTCAAATCCCTGTCATTACCCTGTTTTGCAAAATCAGAATCTGTTTTAGTTCTTCCCAGGTACAGAATCTCTACAGAAAAGACAGAAGGCTGCCCATCGCTTTGCTGTGGACAGTCTCCCCAATTCCCTGGGGAACTCACTCTGGGATGAGTGGTCTCCCTTTCTGAGACACACTTTCTGACCCCTGTGTGACCGGTGGCACTTGGATGCCAGGACCAGATTTGAGTTTCTGAAATAGTATTTGCTAAGGGAAGACTGTGTCCTGCACCTCCCTCCCCTTTCTGGGTGCTACAGGAAACAGAACCAAAGGAGCCTTTGGGTGTCTTGATGAAGTCCCTAGAATACCAAATCACCTGCTCCTCCCACAACCAACTGGTCATTCAGATTCAACTTCTGGATGTTTCTGGAAGCTGTTTCACTGTCTCTGGCCTCCGCCTGGTGGCGTCCATAGGACTCCTTTCCACAGTCACCCTTGACAAGTCTCCAAGGCTACCTTAAAACCATACCTGTTCGCGTCACTCCTTCAATAAAAATATCTTGTGTCCCCCAAGCTCTCTGGCAAGGCATTCAAGACCCTTCGCATTTTGGCCAGATGCACTTGCCCAGGCGTATCTTCTGTTGGCCCCTTTTCTGCCACCCCTCCTTGCCCCCATGATCCTCTTCACTTTTGGTCCAGCAACACTGGTTTGTGTCAGAGACTCTGCTTGGGGACGGAGACGTAAAGATCATAGTCACTGGTTCCTCACCTGAAGAAGCTCATGATTTCAGTCTCATTACTATTACGGGTCCAGGAGTGGACACATCATACAAATCACCTCAACGCATTCTCAATGTAATATAAAAAGATAAGTATTATGGAGTCTCCATTTTATAAATGAAGAAACTGAGGTTTAGAGGAGTTAAGCTCACACAGCTGCTCTGTGATAGAGGCAGCATATGAATCCATGTGACCCAGGGTCAGCACATCTACCCGTTGCTTGAAGATTCATCCCAGGGCCCCTCCTTCCCTTCTGCAGGTACCATCTTGGTTGGGCAGCTCTGCTGTACTTCTGGTTGGGGGGCACTGGAAGCCTCCAACAGCTAAAATTTTCCAAGCATCTAGTAATGGAGACAGCAGGCTATGGTCCTGTCTCCCCACTCTCCCAACTCTCTCTGGATTTGGCCCCTTACCCTTCCCTGGATACTTCAGGTGACTAGTTCAATTACAGGTGTGTGGGAAGAGGGCCAATAGGGACCAACATCTTAAAAGGTGGCCGTTGTTATTAGGTTCATCATAAAGATTCTTACCTATGTTCAATATTTACAGCACTCAAAGCACTGATACCTCATTTTGTCCTCACAATGAACCCATGAGGCAAGCAGGACAAATGTCACAGTCTTAATTTTCCCAGCAGGAATACAAAAGCTCAGAGAGATTCAGTCATTTTCCCAAGATCACACAGGTAAGCAGTGAAAAATGAAGACTCTTTCCTCACTTTTCTGACTCGCCAGGGTAATTGTCTTCCAACCTTTAACTTGCAGGTTACTTAAGACTAATTAATTACCTGTTGGGCTCACCCTAGTGACTCCCAACCTGAGTAATACAACCTCATGAAGTATATATAGTTAATGCAATGAGTTTTATAAAATTGTCAAATAAAAATAATCCCCAATGATTTCAAAGACAGACATATTACCAAGACCTATTAAAAAAAGCATGTGCAACAATAAAAGCCAACTTGTATGAAATATGTATTATGTACCAGGCAGAGCTCAAAGCAGTTTACGTATATTAACCCACTTACTCCTCACAACAACCTATCCATGAATATTGTTACCACCCCCATTTTACAGATTGAAAAAATCAAGGCACAAAGAGGTTAATTTTAAGTACCTTTCCTGAGTTCACACAGGAAGTATGTAAAAAAGAGGAAACAGTTGACTTAGGAGATGAATGTTCTGTCCCAGCAGGAATTCATGTCAACCATTGCGGGCCCTCTGAGCTCCATCCTGCACCAGGAATGGCCCTAACTACTTTCTCCCAAGGATGTCTGTTCCAGGAAGCAATATTCTCTTTAATTACATAAGGAGGAAACTGGGGTTAGCGGGGGTGGGGGAGGTTGTAAATCCAATGACAAAGAATACAGAGAACTAGGAGGAGGGGAGGTACAAACATCATGAGCCCTGGCCTGCTCGCATTTACCATTTTCTCGACATTCCACCTGCAGAAGCCCAGTTGGTGGCCTGGTGACCAGGGGGATGTCTAAGTACCTTGTCGCTGAAGAAGGGGTGCAGGATCCACGCACTGGCCTCAGCTCCCAGGAAAACCACGCTCACCTCCTCTGCTTAGCATGTTAAGTTTATTACTGAGTCTCAGGAAGGGTCCCCAGGACGTCTCTGGCACGGCATCCTGCATGCTAAAGACGCAGTGATGTCCCCAGGGCCACCCACCTCGCCTATGGATTGGTGGCAAAGGCTAGCTTTCTCATTCCTCCTTGTCCCTTGGCATGGTTGCATTCTGCTCACACACACGCGCCGGGTTGTGAGAARCGATGCAGCCACTCTCTGCTCTCTCAAACACCGCAGTGTCCCTGGCTTGCAACAGCAGCACTGCAGTAAGACAGAAGCAGTTCCACTCTGCTGCTTTCCCATGACAAAGGGGCTTTGGAGATCTTAAGTGCTTCGCCTAGCCTTGTGGAGGGAGAAGACATTCAGCAGCATCAAACACAAGAGAAAGCAATCATAAATTGACTTGGTGTTTGACATCAGCCAAGTATCTTAGGAAGCATGCTGCATGGGACACCAAAGGAGCTGTGGAAAGCCACAGTCATCTGTCCCAGCTCCAGACAGCTTCCAAGCCAGAAGGGATGCTGCAATCGTGTGTTGCCCAACTCATCTTGGCAGATGAGTAAGGTTTGGGTTTAATCTGCAACACAAAGATGCCACTTCCCACCCCGACGTGGCATGTTTTACATTCCTGGACCCAGCTGCAATTAGATTCTGGTAATTACTGTCACATCTGAAAGGCTCATGTTGTAACCCAGCTAAGACAGAGTGAAATCCTTCTTCTTGGAACAGTTGGTACCCTCCTTAACCAACATCCTGCGGCGGGCGTCTGGCAAACAGGTGCCTCTGCATCAACAGAAGCAGAACAATATTCTTTGGGGTTCAGCTTTTCAGTGGAAAAGTGTCTAATCAAGCTGCAGCTTCACAACAGGTGTGTGGGTTTAGGAAACAATTAAAAAAAAAAAACCCTTGATTTGCTGAAGTGAGGTGTGATTAGGAAGAAAAAGTGAAGGCATGTAATGCATGACCCCCAGCAAGGATGGTCACCATGGCCAACCTCCATTCCAATGGATATGAAGCATGAAGGGTGACTGGCCCTTTCCACACAGACCAAGCTCGGAGGTTCACAGCAGGCAGCTAACGCTCCCTGCCCATATCAGGGGTCAGGTAGGTATGGAATGTGCAGATGAGGGCTCCAGCCACCCTTACGCTGTTAGCTATACGACTTTGGCCCAACCCCAACGCCTTCCTTTCCCTTGGGCTTCTTGGCAGTTAAATGAGGATAATAAAACCTGCCCTGACTGTGACCTACCTCACAGGGCTGCTGTGAGGAACACATGGGGTGAGAGACCTAGAAGAGCCAGCAAATTGTCAGACATTATTTAAACACCGGGTGTCACAGTTAGGCTGTTTCCCTCAGAGAACATCACGAAGCAGCTACGTGACTAGGAAATCAGCCTTCAGAACTTCCCCAGTCCAGCCCCCTCCCAGTCACCAGATGTGGACTCGCAGAGATATGCAGGTGACAGAGAGGGGACGGCAGGCACTCTAGGCCAGGCGTCAGGAGAGCCTTGGAACTGATGCTTGATGGGCATCCAGCACTGGCCATGTTYCTTGTCTATCAAGGCAGCCACTGAAGAGAAGTCACTCCAGTGGGCGGAACAAGGAACAGTTTGAGAGTTGACGTGCCCCAGGGAGTGACAGTGACAGACACTTCTTTCTCACAGTTCTAGAGGCTGGAAGTCCAGGAGAAGGGGATAGCGTGGCTGGACTCTAGCAAGGGCCCTCTAGTAGGCTGCAGAAGCCCACTTCTTGTGTCCTCCCATGAGAGCAGAGGCAGGGAGAGCTCTAGGACTCCTATTACAAGGGACCTAATCTAATCCCTAGAGGCTCCACCTGCATGACCTAATCATCTCTTAGAGGTCCTTCTACCGACATCACGGCATGGGATTTCATTGTATGAATGCAGGAAACACAAATATTCAGACCACAGCACGCTTGATGCTATGGTCAGTTCTGCTACTCGAGAACCCTTGAAGGAATTACGTTTCACACGTAAAAGAAGGGAATCTGATTAAATCATCTCTAAAGTCCTTTCAGGTCTCTCTAGTTCCTAGTTTTCTGTGTCTCAGTTTTCTCATCTGTCACATAATGGTCTTTCCTCCAAGCAATGCTGTGAGGATTAGAGAATTGCTATCTGAAAACCGGTTGGATRCATTTGTGGCCAAGAGCGAGCATCAGATAAACATTAATTATCCTGTCCTGATTATGAAATAAAGGGTCTCCTTCAAAATGAGATGATAGCCTGGCACAGTGACGGTTGTCTGTAATTCCAGCAACTTGGGAGGCTGAGAGAAATGTCAGATATTCAAAGACAGACTCAGTTACTTAGCAAGGCCCTAAGCAAAATAGTGAGACCGTGTCTCAAAATAAAATACAAAATAAAAAAGGGTTGAGGATGTAGCTCAGTGGTAAGCACCCCTGGGTTCAATCCCTAGTGCCAAAAACAAATTAAAAAAATAAAAATAAATAAGGACTATAACAATGGCTCTGAAGACACTTGCAGTGGCCACACGAACCCAGAGGGAAAGGCAGGCAGAGCCTCTGCAGGCCCAGTGCTTGTCCTCTCCCTACTGCCCCCACATACCTTTGCTCTCTGCGGCAGGTTTATCATAGTGTCTGGCTTGAAGTCGTTCTTGTTCTTCCTGCAGAGCACAGCAGTGATGATGATGATGATGACCGTGACCACGGCGATGGGAGCCAGCACTGCCGCAATGATCCACAGGTTGTTAGGGGGGTTCTTCACCACAGCTGTGGAGAGAGCCAGCAGGAAGCAGGTGACAAGGAGCACTGGGAAGAGGGAACCCAGACAGAAATCCTCCCAGCCCCAAGTCAGGAGATGGCAGGAAGCCGCCGCTATTAAGAGGGGTTCAAGGTCAGAACGCCTCTGCTTCTGCAGCTGCAGCTGTGTGACCTTAGTCAAGGGACTCAAGTCTTCTGAGTCTCAGTTTCCTCATCTGTAAAATAGGTTAGGGTGATGTTTTCTTGTGCTCCCTAGTAGGTGCTCAATAAATTCTAGCTTCTACTATTATTTAAAAAGAGGAGAAAATAAAACATGATCAGTATTGATTTTCCTCAGTGGTCATGTCCAAGGGTCAAAAAGGGGAGAAGAAAAAAAAATCTGAGAATTAGAAGTATGTGTTGGAGACAGAAGGCAAAAGCCACCAAGAGGGGCTGGAGTTGTGGCTCAGTGGTTGAGAGCTTGCCTAGCACGTGTGAGGCACTGGGTTTGATCCTCAGCACCATATAAAAATAAATAAATTTTTAAAAATAAAGGTATTGTGTCCATCTACAACTAAAAATATATTTTTTTAAAAAAAAAGCCACCAAGAGATGACTCTAAATATTGAAGGGAAGTCACTCCATGAATGAGCAATGAATAAAATATAACATGAGCAGATGAATCTCCCCTGGAAAACTTAGGAATGGCTCAGTCAATGGAGAGGATCAGCCTGTCCTCAGAACTAGAGCAAGGAAAAAGTAAGCAGAGTGCTTGTCTGCAGGGACAAAGTGCTGAGGGCAGCAGGTGTCTTTATGGGGCTGGGCGGGAATGAATGAACCTGGGAAGGGCTATAGGGTGATGGTTTTCTGTAACATGAGGGCTATTTGGGCGACACAGCTGTGTTTGTCCAAAATCATCAAGTAATGCACTTGAAGATACATACATTTCACTGTATGTAAATTTTTCCTTAAAGCAAGTCACAAATGAATGTTGATCTCTAATCAATGATAGGAATACTGAAGTGGACAGAAGTCCCTCATGTTTGGAACTCACTTTTAATTGCATCCTCCAAATACATAGATGGATGGATGGAGGAATAGTTAAACCCATCTATGATAAAAATATAGTAAAATTCGAATTGTGGATTCCAAGCAGTAGGTACATGGGTGTTTGCTGACAATTCTTCCAATGTTTTGGTAAATTGGTTAGGAAAATGATAGAAACAGGAGATGAAGAAGTCTCCCCCAGAATCACTGATGGGGATTCTTGGAAAACATGTCAGTCCAATCAAAAGGACTAATATGTTTTCAGAACTGAAGTAACAGTAACTTTAAAAGAAAGTAACAGTCTACATCCAAGCACAGTGGAGCATGCCTGTAATCCCAGCAGCTTGGGAAACTGAGGCAGGAGGATCGCTAGTTCAAAGCCAGTCTCAGCAGCTGTGAGGTGCTAAACAACTCAGTGAGACCCTGTCTCTAGATAAAAATACAAAATAGGGCTGGGGATGTGGCTCAGTGGTCAAGAGCCCCTGAGTTCAATCCCTGGTACCAAAAAAAAAAAAAAAAAAAAAAAAGAAAAGAAGAAAAAGAAGAAAGTAATAGTCTACAGTCTAAATTAATGAAAGGGAGTGGGGTCTGTAGGAATCCAGAGAAAAACTAAAGGGTAGGCAAGGACTTGTTCATCCTGGGGATGTGTTCCATGGCAGATGTGGGTGAGCTGGTCAATGGCAGGTCTATGCAAGTGGCAAGATGGCTGCCACGGGCTGATTCAGCTTGGTGATGCTGTCCCTGGGTACCACCCAACAGGTTTTCTAACTAGATAGATAGGGTATCAGCAAGTTAGAAGGAGAAGTCCCATCTCTGTGGTAATTGTATTTCTAGCCCATATTTTAACTCTAGTTTGTGTATTCATTTCTTGTAAAGTCTGGTTAGCCTGAGCTGATCCTCCTTATCCTCCTCGACTCTGAAGACTACTAGACTTTAATGCTCAGGACCTAGACCCTGGAATAGAAAGACCCCCCCTGGTAAGCACCACGTGGGGAAGGCCTGTCTGAGGAGCCCGCCAGCCCTCCTCTCTCTCTGAGTCCAACCACCTCCTGATTTCTGCGGGTTCCTTGTTAACCAAGGAACCTGTCATCTGGCTGCCCTTGGGCTTCAAGTACTATTAGTACCAAAGAACTTCTTCGTCTACAGTTTTTAATCAATCAGTGATTAATCACATTATTAACTTCTGAAAACAGCTCATTAGGTAATGTGCTTCTGTTGACATTACACCCTTAATTGCTACTGCTTTTAGCAATTCAGTATTTATATGTGAGTTTTGTGCCATTAACATTTTTTAAAACTCAGAGCTTCTATGAAAAATATCAATATACTTCTTTTGGCTAGGCTATTTTATCCTGATAGAGAAAAATGTATACCATACCCGCCCCCCAAAAAAGCACATATCTACATGGAATAGAATATATATATATATATTTTTCCCATCCATTAGAATGAAATATTTGCATGCTCTGATCTTACTCAGTTTTATTGTCTTGGTGGATGCCATTTTTCTTGGTGCAATTGTAAAATTCCCTCACCTCTATTTCAGTGGGGAAGAGAATAGATTTATCTTATCTTATGTGCATTAATAAATTCATTTAATGATCAAAATGTTAGGTCAACTGAAGTCATCCAAACCCAATATATTCATTGGCACATGATCTGAAGGTACAAAGACATGCACTGAGATGAAAAGGAACAGTGGTTACTTAAACTGCAAGAATTTCAGGAGAGGACAGAAAGGAAAAGGAGATGCTGGGTTCTGAGTGCCTCCTCTGTGCTGGGCACAGGGACGGGTCCTTTGTCTGTGAGCTCTTCTTATTCCAGTTTGCAGGTGAGGAAACTGAGCCCAGGGAGGATGGACACTTTGATAGGAAGTCATTTCTCTAAAACAAATAGTTTAAGTTGGTTCTGAATTAACATATGAGCAGAAGTGTGAGCACACATACACACGTGCACACACACACACACACACAGTATTTGTCAGAAGGAATGAAGTCAAAGGGTCTAAATAATCTAAGCACAGAATAGACTATTCTCATGTGGACAACTGTTGAAAGGAGGAAGAATCCACTCAAAACTGTTTGCAGCTCGTTTCTGTGGCCATTTAAGTCCACAGCTGGGTGGGTGGATGCCGGGGAGACTCTGCCCAGGGACCAGTACTCAGCCCATGTCGTTCTCCTCCTTCCGGTGGCATCTAATCAATGCCTCCGGTGGCATCGTATCCTACTCAGGGTCCAACCTGTGAGCCTAGTGATTGTGGCCCCATCTGTGCCTCAGACCTCATCACACCACTCTGCCTCTCAGTAACCTCCTCGCTGAGCCTTGAAGCCCCCTCCACTGCTGGAACCTGGTCCCCAGGTGTCCTCAGGGCTGCTCCCTGCCTCCCTTCTCTCTCTTCAGGTGTCTCTCCAGGGTTACTTCCTCCCTGATGTTGTTCTTGACCCCCAACAATTTAAAATTGCAACTAGTATCTCCTCCCCATTGCCCATCCCATCCCTGCCTGCTTTTTCTCCATGTCACTAGCATCTAACATTTTTCTTGTTCTGTGCAACTACTCTGCCCATTCAGGAATGTTAGGGCCACAGGCGCAGGGATTTTCTTTTTTTTCTGTTTCCTTCACTAACACTCTACAGTGCCCAGGGCAGTGCCTGCCACCCAGTAGGTGCTTAATAAATATTCCTCGAGGGAATGAATAAAAGTGAGTCCTCAACGCTCCACTCTACTATGTCCTTTAAGTGGCATTTCTGAGAAGACGGTCTGATGGCCACAGAAGTCAAACCACTCTGCATCTCATGGGAAGAATGTTCCCCAGTCCCTTAGCTGCCCAACTGCTTTGAAGAACTCCTCACTCTAGATCTGTAAATGGAGCTGATATCAGCCTGCCCCAGGGAAATCAGCTGCTTCCTAAGATGTCAAATGCCACCTCATCTCCAGAGGTGGTGAGGCTCAAGCGGGCATCACAGATTCCAGTCTTGATGCTGGGACTAGCAATTTAGAAGGCCCTAAAACACAGGATGCTAACCTTCTCTCTTCAGTGGGACAAAGCATTCCACATTGGGACCCTCTATTCAGAGATCTGACCTGGGATTAACATTGGAGGCTGATTTCAAATCCCTGAGAAGGCAGGGTTTTAAAAAAATGTGGACCTATTTTCCTATTATTGGACCTATTTTCTTCCTCATCGGCTCCTGGGAATGGAGGCGTTTCCCAGACTCTGTCCTCTTCCATCCTTTAGCTATATTCCCTTCCCAAGCACCTACATTCTGGGGGCATTCTAATCTTAACTCAGATCTATATGCACAGCGCAGCCTGACCTCGGAGTTCTGCACACCTCCCTCTGCAGGAGTCTTATAACCACAGGTGGTTGCCCAGGAGAGTGACAGGCTGTCACTCAGGAAGCTGCTGCCCCAGGCTGAGCAGGAAGGAATGAGGAATTGGAGAAAAGGAAGTGGACTTGCAAGTTACTGGAGAAGGGAGCTGAGAGGACTGAGGGGTTTGAAGGGGATAGAGGAGCAGCAGTAAAAGGGAAGCAGCCTGGAGCTGGGCAGGCTGGGGTCTGAAATCCGAGCCACAGTCAAACCTCCGAGTCATCCCTCCCCACCCAGGCTCACGTCCAAAGGCTCCATGCACCTAACCTGATATGCCCTCCCTCTCCAACCCCTGCTCTCAGCTCCTTCCACTGTCCTCATTGATGGTCATCAGCAAAGTCCCCTGAGCCTCAGCCTCTTCCTGGACACATATTCACCTCTTGCCTTCAATGAGGTCAGTTCTTCATCTGTTCCATGTACCAGAGGCCCGAAACAGAAATGAGGGGGTCTCAGATCCATGGCTAAAGGAGTAGATGGACTGGGACGGGAGGAGTGACGGACAGGAAGAGACAATGGGCCAGGTGCAAAAATGTTCAGGGAGCGATGGGGCCCGTGTGTGTGTGTGTGTGTGTGTGTGTGTGTGTGTGTGTCTAGAGATGATGTAGTGAGGAAGAGGAGCTTGGAAAGGTCTGGGATTTTGAAAGAATAGAAGAAGTGGTCTGGACAGAGCAGGCAGGACGAGGAGGGGTGTCCTGGAAACCTGTCATCCTGCTGGCCAGCTTGCTCTGCCACCCCTGCTCACGTGCCCCACACAACCTCCACGTCGGCCGCCAACTCCATTCAGTATGCCCCAAGAGAGCAGAAATGGTCAAAGAATGTGTCCCCAGGCTTCCGTTACCAAACAGACCCTTGTACTCGGCTCTCTCTCTCATTACAAAGGATGAGCTGCCCCTGTGGACCCTTCTACCCTCTACCGGTAAGCTAGATCCCAGCCCCTTATCCACACAAGGACTTTGCTGGTTCAACCCTCCTCTCTCTCCTGCATTGTCAAAGCCTCCCTCTCTACTACAGCACCCCCACTAATATCCAAACTCACACCAGCATTTCCCAGGGGCCCCTCCAACAACTGCCCTGTTCATTTCCCTATTTGTCATCACCACTTCCCTATCACAGTGCTCCTGGGCCAGCCTCATCCCAGACACCTCTCCTGCCAAGATCACCAAGAGTTCTTCACTGGGCCTTGCCTCTAGAGCATATAAATGGATAAGCCCCCCACCCCACTTCTGTGAGATTCACTTTCTGGGCTTGCATTCTGAACCCCTCTTTCCTGGGTGTCCTCCCAGCCCCCTGCCACTCTTCCACACGCAGACTCCACAAGATCAATTTCATCCTTTTTTCTCGAGCTAGACTCTTCTGGTTACCCTCACCTAGTCCCTTAACTCTAAATGTCACCTGTATGTTGACGCCCAAGTTTATCTCTCCTAAGTTCCATGCGGGTGTCTAGTAGACATCTCAAACCTGACGTGCCTAAAACCAAATTCCCAGCTCCATCTCTCCCATTCCCACTCCAGCTCTGCTGAGCCTCTTTGTCCCACACCTTCTGCATCTGGCCAAACAGCCTCACAACACACGCTCAAGGCAACACTAGGAGTCATCCTGACGTCCTCTGATTCCCACCTCCTCCTGCTGCCACACAGGGAAGCCACTACCCTGCCCCACCAGCTCCGTCCCCCACTTCCCAAATGCATCTACTCCTTTAGTCTCTGCTTCTAGCACCTTCACTGTCTCCTGGCACCTGTTCTCTATCTATGGCTTATTCTCCACCTAGAGAGAGAAAGAGCTGTGAGCAGCGCCTGGGAATCCACACAGAAGGTGCAGCAAAATAGAGAAAGCAGGTAGTTGACCAGAGATGAAGACAGAGCCTACAAAAAGGAAAGGGAGAGGTGCAAAGGAAAAGAATCTTGTTCCAAATGTCATTTCAAAAACCAGATTGCAGAGCGACCATCCTCATCCTACACGAAGGTGTGCCTTGAGGATTATTCTGGCCAAGCATGACAACCATGGGCAGCACCATCACCCTGGAAGCAAAAGTCATCCCCAATGAAGGATGGAGGTGAGGAGGAGAGGAAAATAATGAGGCAGATGCCCGGTTCTTGAGGAGCATGGACACTGGCTAGGAAACCCGTGGGAAATGACCTTCCATGACCTTCCATGCTCAGGGTTGCCAAGCCCTGAGATTTCTGCCACATGCAATCTCTCATCTTCCTACCTCTCCTGTTTCATTATAGCACTGGTTTGGGTCCCCAGTGCCTGAGACACCAGGGAACCTCCTCACTGATCCTGCCACCTGCTGCCACCTCCTGTCTTCTCCCATCCTGGACACTGCCGACCAATTAACCTCCATAAGTAAAGGGTTGTTCCAAGGAGGTTACGACCCTGCTCAGAAATCTTCAAAAGCTCCACACAGCCCAATAGGTACCATCTCCTTCCTCTGCCATTCAAGACCTAAGTTTTCCAATCAATACACCTTTCCAAATCCATCAAATCCCCCACCTGTTTCTCCCCGCCCCCCCAGGCCCTCTGAATCCCTTGTGTTTCAAGTTCAGCTGGTACTTTTCCTCTGCATTCTTTTGCTCACGGTGTTCTCCTTTCGGAATGCACAGTCCCTCTTCTCCCTGTGCTGAGCTCTTGGAGTGCAGTAAGATAAGAACAGGTTTGAAGTCAGGCTGATCCAGATCTGTATTGGGGTACCTAAGTCCTGGTTCTGTGATGCTGAGCAGGTTATTTTGCTTTTTTGGAGTCTCAGTTTCCTCTCCTTTGCAGATGAATAAACAATGCTCCAATGAGAGTAGAAGGCAAGGGAATCTAGGTAATTAGCAGAGTAGCTGCCACAGGGAGGGGGTCAGAGAGGTGGCTATTGTTTTATTCTTTTCTCTTTTGCTTAATTTCAGATGCCCCTTCAAAACCAACCTTCCCTCTGTTGACCCCCATGTCACACTGCCTGGTCCAGGCTCGTCCTGCATTAGACATCTCTGGACCTGCATGAACTCCCTGGCTCCTTAAGGGCAGGAACCCGGTCTTGCCCTTTTCTGTATGTCCTTCAGCACTCAGCTCAGTTCATGCAGGACTCTATAAATGTTTGTTGTATAAAATTATCTTTAATTCCCCCAGCACACAAATGTAATCTCAGTTGTAGTAATTTTTCAAAGCTGTTCACTAATTATACGAGGAGGAAGAGTAAGCAGCACTTGGGGGCAGAGAGATAACATTTCCATCATTTGGATATTAYAAAACACGTCCCTTACCCAAAACCTATTGCTTCAAATAACACAGTCAATATCGCTGATTGATTTAAGAACCTTCCAGAACAGGGATGTGGGTGTGGCTCAGTGGCAGCACTAGCATGTGTGAGGTGCTGGGATGGATCCCTAGCACCCCCTTCCACCACACACACACACACACACACACACACACACACACACACGCATGCACACAAGAACCTTCCAGAACAGAAATACGTTTAGCTCTGACACCATTAAAATGAGTTTTGAGAATCACTTTGACTCACAGAAAACACTGAACGGCATTAAAAACACTGAACGAGAGGACATTTCTCTTACGGTCAGCTTGCAGAAGGACAACATGATGCAGGGTCAAGGCCATCCTTTGGGAGTCAATGGTGCTCAGGATCTTGGCAGCTGCGGTCCCCAGCAGTGGCTTCCCGTTGTACAGGGTGTAGTAAGTCAGCTCTGCTGGGTCCTTTGGTCCTGGAACACGCTGCATCTTTACCATCTTTCAGAAAAAGAGAGGCCACGTGTTTACAGGGCATCTTGCAAGGCTCCTGCAGGCCCCCGGGCGGTCAGCAGGCTGAGTGGCCCCACACCCTACATGTTACACAGCCACCTTTGTTACCTCCCCACAGCCAGCGCCTCAAGAAGTCTGCTAACGCAGGAGCCGGAGACTGGGAGGAGAAGGAAGATGTGAACATCTGGAAAGAACAGTTTGAAGCTGGAGATGAAAACATGCGATAGTGATGTTTCCCAGCCCCCACAGAGCTCTGGCCTCATTAGAAAGTAGGACTTCACGTTAATTCAGGGCACGCTAGGTTGTTCTCAGACAAGATTTTTAATTTCAAATATCTGCAATTGCCAGAAAGAAAAAAAAAATGACCTATAAGTCTGCATTCCAAGCTATCTTTGATAAAAGCAATTCTTGACAACACTAAATTCATTTTCTAAAATGATATTTTTTTTGCTTTTCTTTACTCTGAAAGTGATGTATACTCAATATAGAAAAATTTGAAAATATGGAAAAAGCATTAACGAGTGTAATAAAAATGATCTATAATCCCTCCTCTACCCACTAATTACTGTGATCATTTTGGAGTATTTGCTTCTAGTCTTTATTTCCACACAAACCTTTTCTGTGTTATTTTACAAATTATTTATCATACTCCCTATATCATGTACCACTATGTTTTACTTCCATTATTAAGTGACAAAATATTTCAAGAACTTAAATGTTTATTTCTGCACRGCATCTCAAATGCCTAACTCATAAACTTATTTCACAAATCCCTTATTATTAATAATTTAGATAGTTATTACTTTTCTATTCATGTAATTAGCAATTGATAATCATAAGTACAGAAACATGAATTTTAATGCCTGTATAATGTTCTACTGTATGCATGCCTGGTAAACTTAACTAACCATTTATTAGTGCACATTTAGGTTATTAACTTCTGCCCGGATAACTAACAATAAATAAACATTTAAACTGAAGCATAGTATTTTCCAAAGTATATACTATATATCTGGAATTTTGTAAAGTATTAAAAGATATTGCAAAATTCTCAGAGCAGCTTTCATCATAATAGTGAACACACTGAAAATTCAAAAATCACTAGTAGACTAGATAAATGAGTTATGGTAGAGCAACCTAATGAAATACTATAGATCAGTGAAAATGAATGAACTGTGGCTATTGGCATCAATGTAGATGAATATAGAAGCCTGATATTGGGTGACAGAGACAAATCACAGAACATAAAATTCAAAACAGGCAAACCACATGATACACTATTTAAGGATACACACATAGATGGTAAAATCTACACAGAAAATATAGTAATAATTTAATATGGAATCCAGAATCATGCTTTACTCCAATAGGAGGGAAGAGAGTATCATCAAAGACACATAAAACCCTTCCGGAGTAAGAAAGGGTAATGATCTGACCTTTGGGTTCTAACTTCTTTTCATTAGTATACATTCTTCTGAACATAGACTCTATATAAAGATTCAAAAATGGACATTATTACAGTCCAATAAAAACGGGCAAAAACATCTGATCTGACACTTCTCAAAGGAAGATTTCTGAATACCCAATAAGCACATAAAAATGCTCAATGGGGAAATTAAAATTAAAAATATGAAACACTACTATCTACCTACTAGGATGGCTAAAATAAGGACTGACAATACCAAGTGTTGATGAACATATGAAGCAACTGGAACTCCATGCCTGGTTGGCAGGTATGTAAAATAGTACCACCATTTTGGAAAAAGGTCTGGTAGTTTCTTATAGAACTACTGTATAACAAACCCCGTGAACCATAAATTCCACTCCTATTAACCCAAGTGAAATGAAAATGTGTGACCACAACAAATGTATAGAAGAACATTAGCAATAACCTCATTTAATAGCTACAAACTAGAAAAAGACCAGGTATCTATCAACAAAAGAACATATAAGCAATGGTTACATTCACACAAGAGAATATATTTCAGCTATTCTCAGCTACTGGAATCAATGTAGATGAATACAGAAGCCTGATATTACAACATGTGTAAATGTTAAAAGGTGACCTTCCTTCATGACCCCGGAGATTTAGATAACTAGAGTTTAAAGGTATTCCTCTAGTATATTTGATATTGCAACATGTATAAATCTCAAAAACAGTATATAATACTCAGTCAAAGAAGTTTTATACAAAAGTAATACACTATACAATTCCATATGTATGAAACACAAGAACTTCAGAAACAATCTGTGATTTGGATTTTATGGAAACATGTGTGTTGTGGAAAGTATGTGGAAGTAAATGGAAACAATATATGTTATCAAATATAAAATGGAAACAGTATAAGGTTAATCTTAGAACCTCTATAATGAGTATAGGAGTGTTCACTGTATAATTTTTTCAACTTTTGCTGTGAGTTTGAAAAAGAGTTCATAAAACAGATATTATGCAAAATAAGGGTTTTACTGACAGGTTAAATTTGGAAATAAGTATGTTGAACAGAATTAAGGAGATTAAAAAGATCCCCCCCCTTTTTTTTAAGAGTTTGGGAATGCAAATATACTTTGGGAATCTTCAAGAAGGAGTTATAAGATGCAGTCTTGCAGTGTTGCTCAGACCAATCTAGCAAACGAGCCCCTCTGCCTCTATTTAGCTTACAGAACCATTTTCTAGATACTCCCTGGAAAACATTGCCCTCACTTTTTTGTCTTTGTGCTCACCTTTACCTTCTTGAGATAAATTTCTGGGAGTTAGCTAAAGACATCTAGAAGTCTGTGACTCACTTGCCTCCAGGAATTTCATACCAGTTTCTCTGTGTGGAAGTGCCCGTGTCACTGTGTCCTCACCCATGCTGGATAGGACATTTTACTAATCTTTGGTAGATAAGAATGACATCTAAATGGTAGTTAAGGCCTGCATGGCTTTGATTACAGATGGAGTCAAACATTTAAAAGTGTTTACAGGTTATATGGTTTCTTCTTAGGATCCAATTTCTTCCCAATATATGAACTAGAGGAATACCTTTAAATTCTAGATATCTAAATCTCCATGTTCATGAAGGAAGGTCATTTTTAAAAATTCTCTGAGTACAGAAGAAAGGCCTCTGAGTTGGATGATTGAAGCAATTTAGAGTAAATGCTGGGAGGGAAACTTGGGCATGCTTTTCCTTTCCCGATAGGTGGAGAAGTTAGTGCAACCACGTAGAGGTGAATGATCATTCAGATATCTATGAACGTCACTCAATTTCTTCTACCCAGGGTTTGGGGGTGATGTCAGAGGATCTGCAGAAACAAACCCCTACTTGCCTCACACTGACTTCGTGGGCAGCTATAGGATCAAGGGCACTGTGCACTTGATAAAAGTGAGAGAAAACACCTTTGGAGCCCTTCTAGACATGCAGAATGTGTTAGGTTTCTTAGGATTACAAATGACACCAGGACTGTTGTATGGTCCTTTTCTCCTCCTTTGGCTGATACAAATCTCCCTGCACAGACATCCGACCTCCTGTCTGCCATCTGGAGAAGTGTGGATTATAGGGCTTATTCTATGGAACCTACAGAGGGAAAATCACAAACCCAGCATGTGAAATTAACTGTCCCTTTACTTTGTGATGAGGTCGTCACAGACCACAAAGATTTTCAGAACCAAAGCAGCAACCAATAAGACAAGGGGCCAGATTCCCAACTGTGAATAAGGGGACGTGGCGTGGTGTCAGGGGCATGATGCTGACTCACGCAGGGAGAGAAGATGGGTTGCTTAACTTTTATGCTTGCACGGGGATGTGATCTGCAGGCGGACTGTGACGGTGTCTGCAATTTCCTTCAAGACTTTCCTCATTGTGTGACACTAGGCAAGTGGGCTAGATGAGGTCAATTATCAATCAGGAGGTCACCTGCCAGGGGCAGCCTGCTAGATTCCAATTAGGGAGGCCCACGTGTACAGAGGCACTTCTATAATTTGATATCATGCTCAGCATGATAATTTTAGTTAATTAGCATAACAGATGTTAGAAACGGGTTCTCACTGGTGAAGTCAGGAGTATTCAAGATATGTGGATGGGTTAGAATATGCTAGAGACACTCCCACTCCTGTGGGAACTGGGTATCTAGGGAGGCTTAGAAACATTGACCTTGGGCATGGCGACTGCCTTGAACAGACCCCACAGAGGAGTTTCATGCTCTTAGTTTATCTGAGAGGTGCAGGAAACTGACAGGAGGGTGAAGAGGTGATGCATGGATGGGGAAAAGAGTCCGTGACGCAGTGGGTGACTAAAGCTTTCTTCTGTGGGAAAACTCTGAAAATGTTCTTAAAGAAACATTTCAGAATTCCCCTCTCTAAGAGGTGAGGGAGATGGGGTATGTCTAATTCCCACGCACTTCAGCCATCATGGCCTGGGCAGGCGGGTTCCAGCATCCCAAGTGCATCCCTGCAGTGGAGTTCCTCGGCTGGCTGTTGAAATTCCGGCAGGCATACTTACTGATGATGGTAAGAGGGTGTGAGGGCAACCCTAGAGCCTGCTACATCTCTTGCCTAAATCACTCTGTGCTCAAGTCTTCACTGTCAGTTTGGTGGCTTCTATTTTTTAATTGACTAATACAGACGATGAAACTTCATTTCAGAAATATCTCCATGTATGCAGACTCTGTTCTGAGATCTCCTTCCCTCATAACCTAGCTATTCGACAATGTAGGAGGATGTTTATGAGCCTCAACTCCCCCCAAACCTCAGAGTAAATGGCTCAGCTGGTGGCAGCGTGGATGTCCTCTGTACAGCCCAGGATGCACAGTCCCTCACAGTTCTCCCACACCTACCTGCACAGTGTAGCTTCCCAGGGTGGTAGCCCGTTTAAATCGCCGGCCTTGTTGCTGGGACATCATGAAGAGCTGGGCCAGGCGTTGCTCCATAACCCGGGCAAAACTCTGGTTGTAGAGGCCCACCAGCGAGTTGTCCACGCCCTGCAGCACTGTGGAGGCAGAAGGCAGAGGGGGTGCTCAGAGGGCAGACGCCCTGCTGACCAGGGACCACAACCACCATCTGCCCTAGATAGCCCTAAGGGTCACTCTGCTCTACCTCATCCTTACCTCACTTCACCCTCACAGCAGTCCAGGAGTTAGGAATCACAATCCACCTCTTATAGATGTTGAAAAGTTTAATTGACTTGTCTAAGTCTGCACACCTTATAACTAGCAGCCCTGACTCCAAATCCTGGGCTCTTTCCTCCAGGAGCAGTGGCCTCTCTTACAGGGCTCTGTCAAACCCAGACTTCATTTAAGATGATGTGCATTGCTAAGAGTCCTCCATATGGGAACACATCAGATCTGCAGGTCAGCGACTTGGGTTGGGAGCTGGTTCCTACTCAGAAGCCCTGGCTCAGGGCTACCTTGATGTTTTCCCTCTCAACAGCTTTGCTGAGGAATCTCAACTCCATCCTGCAACTCAGCCCCTTACATCTGGGCAAACCGCACATTCAGTATCCCCATCTCTCTCTCTTCTGCAGAGTCTTGTTGATGCCCGCCCCTATAGCTACCTAGAGTCTCCCAGGTCCTCTCCCAGCTAAAGAGTAGGACAGCTTAATGGAGAAAATAAACTCTCTACACTGGCTCTTGCCAGTTGTGGGACCCTTGACAAGCCACTGGGCATCTCTGGGTCCAAGTTTTTCTCTTTAAAAATGGAATAAAAAAGTGTACATTTCCAGTGAACATATTCCTAGTGGACTCTGAGGTTTAAAAAAAACAGGATTTTTTTTTTTTTTTTTTAAGGTGGATTCCTTCATCCATGGCTAGGTTTTGGTAATACTCAGTTGCCACAGTCTGGCTGGGCACAATTCAGGAGCCACTTGTCAAAAGAAACTAACTTTATTTTTAGAACTACAAATGCCAAACAAAACAGCTCCTCAGGAAAAAACCCTCAGAGCCCAACTGCCACCACCGGCTTCCCACAAGCCTCTCACCCCCACACCAGCCTCTCCACCTCCCACAATCCTCCTGCTCTTGAGGCCGATTGGCTGGGTCGTGTGGGTGGAGCCAAAGAAGTCCCCCAATGAGCAGCTCAGTGGAGGAGCCAATCAGCTAGATGTTGCTGGGGCCGCTGTGAGCCAATCATCAGCTGGCAGCTGGAAGTTTGCTGGGGCCCTTTTGGCTGGGGCTCTCAACACTCAGTATCTATAATCAACATGTAGGTGTTGACAGGGGAGTTCCACGTCATGGGTAGTACATGGAGGGGGCTTTAACAAGCACTAGGCCTGGGGCTGGGGTTGTGGCTCAGCGGTAGAGCACTTGCTTAGCACATTTGAGGCACTGGGTTCCATCCTCAGCATCACATAAAAATTAATTAATTAATTAATTAAGTTATTAAAAAAATAAACACTAAGCCATTTTAGGACTGCTGAGGCCACTTCCCCAGTCTAGACTTTGCTCCATGTCCCTTTGGAAGCACACTTCACCTCAGATGAACGACTGCAGCCTTCAAACAGCCACACCAAAACTTCTAAGTCCTAAAAATACGATCACTTTCTTAAGAGACCAAAACTGACAAGGGCTGGGAATGTAACCGAAGAGCTTCATTTAACAGAGTTCATTTGACCACAGTGTGGCCAAGCATGGTTAACACCGCCCGTCCACCAAGGYACGGAAATAGCTTGTAGATAAAAAGGGTGTTGTCATTATGGCACCCAGGACAGCAGGGTGCTGCCAGGGGCCACCCCAAGGATCACATCCTACACGGGGCCAGACAACGCAGTCAACCACCACAACACACACAATAACAAGACGCAGAGCGTGAAGCTGCAAGGGATCAAGAGAGAAATAAACCCGCCGCTAGGTCTCCAAAATTACTTCTTTGAAGCCATAAATGCCAAATAATCCCCCCCACCCAAGGGCGCACAGCAGCTCTCTTTTTAGGGCCCTTGTGAGAGACTCCAGCTCATCTGTCAGCTGAATTCCCGCACAGACAAAACTGCTACGCTGTGTGATTGAGGGCCCCAAGAGGACTCTCAGGATTCCTTGGGTGCTTCCTACCTGGGGGATGGGAACTTTCTGGTCCAAAGGTAGTTCATCTAGTAAAATCACAGATCAAACTGCTGGAGTCTTACTCCTACATTGGCCTCCCTTGATCAGTGGATGAGAGTGAGAGAGGGGACCCCTTTTGGATTATTTATGGAACTTTCAGCCAAGACTCAAAGGCAGACATTAAATAAAGGCAAGAGTCGAAGACCCCAAGGTGATGACAAAGTCGGAGAAATGGATACTGTGATGTCTGTTCAATACTGAATATTTCTTATGCCACTGAATTATACACTTAAAGAGGTTAAAATAGTTATTTTATACTAAAAAATTGAAAATGCCTCTAAGGAGCACAGGAGGCTGTGGGAGCCGCAGAGGTCTAGAAGTCAACACCTGGACGGTTCCCCCATGGTTCATGCCAGCTCCCCTAAAAAAGAACAGGTTCTTCTTGGGGGAGCAGCTGGGAGGGCTGAGGAGTTGCATGCAGAGGCTTGAGATTGAGTCCTGGCTCCCCCTTCTGAGTGTTCTTGGGTATGTCACTTGGTTCCTCTGGGCCTTAGTCCCTCATCTGAACACCTTAGGATTGGATCTTTGTGAAGAGCAGATGATTCTTCTAACGCAGTGCTCTAAGGCACTTGCCTGCATATGAATAAGTGGTAGCTATTGCCTTTGTCACAATGGGCCCCTTCTCATTATTACAGGAAGAAATAAAGTGAGAAGACTGGAACTATATGGCTCCTCTCCCTTCCCCTGAGGAGTGTGGCAGGCCTGGGGCCTCTGGGCCTCTCCGTCCACCCTGTGGGCAGTGGTGAGGGAGGTGCGCCCACCTTTCTCAGGGTGACACAGAAGCTCAAACACCTCAGCACCTCCGCCGGATCCCCGGCCACCCACCTCAGCCCCCACCACTGACTCAGCCTAGGGCAGGCAGACAGGTCCCTCGCTATGTTCAAAGGAACTCCATCCAGAAGATTCCATGACTTTCCCATCACCGTTCTCTTACTCCTTTATTTACAATCATACCAGGCTCTAAGATTCACACAACCAGGCCCTGTTCAGCCTCCTGTGCTCAAGTTGAATTGTTTTATTTGTGGTTGAACAAAGATTCTTCATGATCAGCTGAGACCTCTCCCTCATCCTCAAGGTGAGAGTGTGCAGCACAGAGGGCCTGACTGACTTGCTCAAGGACACCAGGGTAACTAAGAGCAGAACTGGAGAACTGATCCATCCCTTCCTGGRTCTTGTTCATTTTGCTTCTGGAGTGAATTAAAAAGATGAAGCAGCCTGAGATGGAATCTTACTTCTGTTAGGTAGCAATATCGAGCTGGATTTTTCTATTTTGCCTCATATACACAAACCGAACTTGGGTCCCTGGAGGGCAGAGTAGCCCCTGTGTTCTCTGTAAAGGAACTGCAGGGTCATCCTCAGCCAATGACTTTCCATCAAGGAGGGATTCACCCTCTGGGAGAGAAGTGTACAGTGTGCAAAGACATATTCAATATAAGTTTAGTTGGAAAACATGTCAGGGTTTTAAAATATAAAAAACAGAAAGGGGACTTGCGGCTATTAGCATCAGTGGAAGACACGGCACCTATAATGCCCTAGAGGAAAGACTAAAAAGTTCTCTCATCTCTCAGCTCCCTGTCTCCTTCCCCTTTTGTTGGTGATGGGCAGATTGGAGGTGGACACCCAGGTATTCAGAAAGTAGTCCTGGGTGGAAGGAAAGGCAGAAGGCCAGGCTGAAACCAGGCTCCAGCCCTTCCCAAGCACAAATCAACTGATCCAACCAGCCCCAAACACAGTGATGGTGACAGCTCTATTCTGATCACCAACTGCAAAAATAGCAAAACGGAAAGAGGGTCGTCGCATAGTGGGTGGGCAGGGGGATGACCCAGGAGAGCCCTGGAAGCAGGACACTGGTGGTGGTGGGGGGGCTTCCTCTTAATGTCATGGCACTCAAATCAAGGCAGAGCAAACACTGCAAGAGGAGGAAAGGGTGATGCAGGTGGCTGTCAAGGACAGGCCACGTTCAAGAGTGGCTGCGTTATCACCCAAGGCAAACCTTCAAGTCAGAGAAGGGGGAAATAGCTGTCCATGAAAAGGCACCATTCCTTGAGGAGGAAACACAGTTTTGCAAATGTTACATAACCTCCTGGTTCCAAAACTGTGTCGCTGGGTTAGCACTGTCTCTCTCAATGGGCATAAACCCCRATGGGTGGGTTTTTAATTTTCTTTTAAGACATGTCTTTTTAGTTTGCCTTCTATTTTACCAGGTGAAATAATCTGTATATTGAAGGCTCGGTGTGCGTGGTGGGGAGAATTTTCTGAAGTTTAGAAGAGGTCTTGAGTAGGCCACATCCAGCAGAGGCAGGTACCCCTTAATTGGTATTTTAGGTACAGCCCAGCTGCAGCTAGTGTGGGACAATAGTGTGCAGGGGACGTTGGAGACCAGCCTCCTCCCCCAGACGTGGATTCCAAGCCTTGCAGGAGATTCTCCCCTCCTTGAAATGGGCTGAACTGTGTTCCCCAAATTCACATGTTGAAGTCCAAACCCCAGGTACCTCAGAATGCAACTGCACCTGGAGAGAAAGTCTTTAAAGAGGTAATGAGGTTAAAATGAGGTCATGGGGGTGGGCCCTCACCCAACATGTCTGGTGTCCTTATATGAAGAGGAAATTAGGTCACCCGCAGAGGGAAAACCAAGGCCTCAGAAGAAACCATCGCTGCCAACACCGATCTCAGACTTGGAGCCCGCAGAACTATGAGACGGCAAACTCCTGCTGTCTAAGCCCCCAGCCTGCGTGCTTTGCCGTGGCAGCCGCAGCACACCCAGATTCTTCTCTCCACACTTCTCCCCTGGATGATTGGGCGGGTCACTCTACCTCCTACAAACATCTGCTCTCTCCCTTTACTCTCAATTCTTGTTTCCCTCATTTTCWGAAGGCACTGTCTGGCTTTTGAAAGACATAAATGGAACGTTTTGGCTGTTTCATAAAGTTCAGCTGCAAAATGTCAAGGTTAAAAAAGAAAAAAAAAAGGACACACCACCCAAACACCCTATGCATCCACACGCCCTCACTGTCAGGGTGTGCCAGGACAGGACGGGTGTGGGGTGGGACTCCCACTGGGCAGGAGGAGCATCCAGCCCTCCTCTGATTTTATTTTAGGTTTTACAAGGCAGTGCAGAAAGAACTACCATCTGTACACACAGGGCCATTCACAAGGACGTGTCCTAGGCATCCACAAGGTAACTTCTGATAGGTGGAGTTTTTGCAAAGAGGAAGCACTGGGGTTGGAGGTGGGCTTCCAAGGTAACAGTTTTAAAATGTTCAATAACCACCATCAGTGTGAGGGCTTCCCTAGGCTTGTTTCCACACACTTCTGGTCCTGGAGAAATAACTCCTTGACATATAAGACAGGACCAAAAAAAAAAAAAAAAAAGACCAATCCTTTCACTGAAAAAAAAAAATCAAACAAATCAACCCCCACAGCATGAAGAGGGGGAGTAACAGAATGAGAGATTACCTGTAATCACCCAGTAGTCTCTAGTTGTTTCTGATGTATCAAGGTTGGGATATTCCAGTGCTAAAACCAACAAGAAACACACGGAATTACTTTTATAGGTTTTACATGTAAATATAAAACAGAGAACTGACTTGCTGTTCAGAAAATGAAAAGTCTCCGTTAAAGGTGAACTTTCCTATAAAAAGTGTTTAGGGCTTCTTGAGTTTCTACTCTTTCAGGTTTTTCCATCCAAACCTTCTCCAATGGAAAGTCTTCATTATCAAGAGCCGCAGCTGCCACCTGTGTTAGCTGGTGTTTGCTCTTTAAAAACCATCCAGCTACCAACAAAGTCATCAGGAACTGTTATATCTTGAATGGATTTTTTTTCCAATGCCAAGAACTTACATTGTAGCCAAGTGCTTGTAACAAAAGTTCTCCTGCTACTTTACCAGTATCATGACTCTCAGAGTTAACAGGTGGAAAAGAATCAGTACAGTGTCTGGTATATAGTTCATGCTCAATAAATCTTAGCTGTGGTTTTATGAGAATATAAAAAGAATGAGAGAAAGCAAATTTTCACATGCTTCCATGTGACAGAATGTCACCTTTTACATCGTCTTTTCCCATAAAATGCATCTTTCCTCACCACATGGAAGCTTGCAGAAGCTCACCAAATATATATTAAATATTCAAAACTAATCTCAGTGGCTACTATGTGCTAAGTRCATCACCTACACATTATCTCATTTATTTATAGCCTCAGAAACAACAGTAGAAGGAACTTATGAAACAATTTATGTGTTTACMGAAAAACTTGCCCACTGACCCTGTGAAACGTAAGAGTGGTTTAAATTTAGGAATACAAACCTTTATTTCCTTTGACTCCTGAGTAAGTGTTCCGGTACAGAATGTAGGCTGCATTGTTGTTGATGCCTGCYGCATGGTAATGAGGATTACGTAACTGAAGAATTAAGGGAGGTGAGGCCACAGACTATGGAGATTTCATCAAGTGAAGTCACAACGTTGACTACAAATGGGCTGCATTATGATATCTATAGCCAGGGCAGGGCCTGAAGTTCCGGGAACATTTGTTAACGGCAGAAGTGGGAGAAATGCCTAGAAACCTAGTTTGCTCAAGGACAGCTGTCCTTGCAGGCAGTATGATAAAGTCAGAAGGCAGACTGCCAGGGTTCAAACCCAGGTGACAGCTCTCACCAGCTATGSGAGAGTAGGTATCTTGTGAGACTTCTTGGAACTTCAGTTTCTTCTTCTAAWTTTGCACTGGCCTTATAGGATGGTTTTGAGAACTCAATGAGACAAGAGACTTGTGCAACATACTTTTCATCAATTCAGACTCCATTTATTRCACGTTTGGGTGGTTATTTTATGACAGTAAGGGTAGCATGTGGTCTGGCACAAGAGAGGTTCATGGAATGGAGAAAGGCTCCAGAGAAGCAACAGGGCCCCTGGAGGTGACGTGATGTACTCACGTTCAGCAATGGTGAGCGGTGGGTAGGTGAGGTAGAATCCCACCAGCTCGGCCGAGAGCTGGCTCAGGAGACTGCTGGCCACCGTGCCATTGAGGAATGTGCTCTGATTGCCCACGACGTACACCAAGGTGACGGCCTGCGAGGCGTTGGACGTGCTCACAATCTGAATTGACACAGGAGGAAAGGGGCGGGAGACRTGCAGATAAGATGAGGGTCTGTTTCCAGGAGGCCGTGGAGGGGGAGTTTACGCAGAAGGTCAGGGTAGGAATGAGAGGGAGGAGGGAAAACAGCAAGAAGAGACAAGAATAACAACCATCATCGACAGTGATTGTTGGCTGCACGCCGGGCACTGTGCTGAGGGAGCATCGGTTCCTTTCATCCTCGCCACAACCTTACAGATGAGGAAACCGAGGCCCAGAATGGCCAAGGGATTTGCCCGGGGTCCCACAGCTCAAAAGTGACAAAGTCAAGATTCAAACCCAGGAAATCTGACTTCAGACTCTTAACGAGTGTGGTTATCTTTCCTGGGGGCTAATTTGTCTCATTTATGAGAAATTGACYTTTATGATTCTGGAAATATAAAGCAGACGATAAGAATGTTAAATATAAGGAAGACACAACTGCTCAGACAGGGAAAGCTAGAGCCAAATTTGCAGAGTTTTAAGTCTGAAAGGACCAGGAAGGTACGGTGTCACAGAGCGGGTCACCAACGTTATCATGGCACAACAGACTTGATTCAGAATTGAGAGCAATTACATCTCCTTGTGATCTACTAATTCAATATCGAACATTTTAAAAATCCTGAGATGGCATGGTTTTCTTTTCATATTTTGTGTCCAATTCAGTTTTTTGGTTGCTGGAAAAATGAACTTTTCTAGGTCAATGTATGGACAAAAATATCCCCAGATGAGATTTGAAAAACACACACAGGGGAAGTCATTCGACTCGCCGAGACATTTTTTTTTGCTGGGTTCCGTGCAGTCCCTCCCCCTCCAGAGCCATTTTTGCCACCCATCTGTCTGTCCTGATCATGTCCCCAGGGCAGACCCTTGTGGACCACCTCATGGGCTCCTGTGCCTGCTGGCTTCGGCTAATGGGGGCTTGGGCCAGTGGGCCAATTGACACCTGGACTTTCTCAGACCTTTGTGCTAAGACAGCATCCCTCTCAAACTTGACCCTGAAGAAGGCTGCTGAGATGAGTTTCTCCACTTTACCTCCCACTTTTTCCCACACTTGAAGTTCTCTTTCAATTCTCTAACCCAGAGCCATATTCCCACAATTAAAGATAAATTGAGGAGACGCGGAGGGCACAGTAGGCTGAGGCAGGAGGATCATGAGWTCAGAGTCAGCCTCAGCAAAAAAAAGCGAGGCACTAAACAACTCAGTGAGACCCTGTTTCTAAATAAAATATAAAATAGGGCTGGGGATGTGGCTCAGTGGTTGAGTGGCCCTGAGTTCAGTCCCTAGTWCCAAAAGAAAAGAAAAAGATAAATCAAGTCAATACCCAAGTATTCGGGCCTCTGTCCAAGGTACCAAAAAGTAAAAGAATTTATCCATTCAGCTCTTGATGGACACCTGTGTTGCTTCTACCTTTTGGCTGTTGTGAACAATGCTGCTATGAAYACAGGTGTACAAAGAACTATTTGACTCCCTGCTGTCAATTCTTTTTGATATATACATGCAGCAATGGGCTTTCTGGATCATAAGACAATACTATGTCTAATTTTTAAAGGATTCACCATTTGGTTTTCCACAGTGGCTGTACCCTATGTATATTTTCACTAGCAATGCACAAGGGGTCCAATTTCTCCCCATCCTCACCAACATGTAATATTTTCTTGTTTTTTAGAATGATCACCCTAATCAATGTGAAGAGAAGCTCGTGGTTTTGCTTTACATTTCTTTAATGGTTAATGAGGTGGGCCATATTCTTAAGTGCTTACTGGCTATCTATATATCTTTTTTTGGAGAAATATCTATTCAAGTTCTTTCTCCATTTCTAATTGAATTGTTTGGGTTTTTTTATTATTGGGTTGGTGGAGTTCTTTACATGCTTACATGTCCTGGATATTAACCACTTATCAGATATATGATTTGCAAATATTTTTACCTATTCTGTGGGTTCTCTTTTCACTCTGTAGGTAGTGTCTTTTGATGGACAAAGTTTTTAACTAATGAAGTCTGATTTATTTATTGTTTCTCCTGTTACCTGTGCTTTTGATGACCTATCCAACAAATTGCCAAATACAGTGTCATGAAGTTTTTCCTCTGAGTCCTACAGTTTTAGGTTTTCTAGTGAGGTCTTTGATCCACTTTGAGTCAATTTGAGGAGATGATAGGTTAGGATCCAGCTCCATACCTTTGCATGTGGAAATCCAGTTTTCCCAACTTGTTGAAAAGACTAACCTTTCTCCCACCGAATAGTCCTGGCACCCTTGTCAATGATAATTTGAGCATATACAAGAGGAWTTATTTCTGAGCTCTGCTTTATTCTGTTGGTCTCTGTTTGTCTCTATGCTGGAACCATGTTTTTTTGGAGTAGCATAGCTTTTTGATTTCTGTTTTGAAATCAGAAGTTGTGAAACCTCCAAACTTTGTCCTCTTTGAAGATTCCTTTGGCTATTCAAGGTCTCTCGAAATTCCACTTGAATTTTAGGATGAGTTTCTCTATTTCTGCAAATAAAAGATCACTGGGATTTTGATAGGGATTGCATTAAATCTATAGATCCCCCTGGGTAATACTGACATCAATTTTTAGTTTCCCAATCCATGAACATAGGATGCCTTTCCATTTATTTGATCTTCTTGAATACACTCACTTTTTATAACCAMGAAAATGGTGACCATTCTTGGTAGCTACACAAGCTCCAAAAATAAGAGGTCCATAGGTCTGAGACCAAAGCCACAGCACTGGTCCCTGAGAGTCATGCCTGTCCTTAAATAGAAGCAGCTCTTGCAGGGGACACTTTCCTATCACATCTTTACTCTCAGGTGCCTGTAGCTCCTGACCTGGTCTCTGACTTCTCACTCACTCACACAACAATTCATTTCGCTAATTAGTCCTTCAGGCTGATGGAGCCGAGAGMCGTCGTTCTGGCTGCCCAGCACCCATTCTCCCTTCTTCTAGGACAGCACCACAATACCCTTTGGGAACCACCTCTCCTCTCCCTCTCTGTCCATGTGCTTTGGATGGGGCTGCCCCACCGGGGCTCCAGGAGTGGGCATCTGAGCCAGGCCTGGGTGATTGGGACATTTCATCTCCTTGGCCACAGTCACGGATTCAGAAATGAACACCGTGGATCCAAGGAGAACCAATCCCAGGGGTTTGACTGAAATGACACCAAAAATGGTACTTTGATACCACAAGACTATAAGCAGTAAGGATGAGGCACCAGAGGCCACCAGACAGAACCAGAGAAAAACAAGCCAAGAGACGAAGAGAGAACATCATGAAGAAATCACTRCAGCACCTGGATTTAGTTGTGCCTAAAGTAATTAAGCTGTGAACTTTTCAGCTGTGTGAGCTAATTGCTTCCTCTTTTTTTTTTTTTTTTTGGCCTTATAAGCTTGGATTCTGTCACAAACAAAGCAGTYGTAATTGAATCAACTGCAATCTAGCCCATAATACCAAAGCTAGACAAAATTTAAAAGTCATCTTTTCAGTGACTCTTAATTAAATATTTACATGATCATATTCCATAAAAGATTCAAGGTACCTTGCACATTTTATTTAATACAATAAAATGGAAAGTTATTCATTACAAAAGCACATCCTAGAAAAACAGATAAAAAGACAGGGATGTGGTTAGCATGCAGTTATCTATGYGTGACATAGGGACAAGAGGGTTGCTGAAGTTATACAACAGATTGGGTTCTGGGTTACCTCTCATCCAAATCAAAAAGCAAAATAGTTAATAAAATGATTGATTTGATTATCCATTAATTTCAATAGTTTTCAAAATGTTCAAGAGCATCTAAAATCTATTAGATGCAATGTTCAAATCACTGTTATAGTCTTTTCCAAGGAAGCTTTGTTAGTTGGTTGACAAAATTTCATCTAATGGTGCATAATTAGTACCTAACAACACAAGAGAGGCTTCTTAAGGCCAAGGGCAGCTTATTTATCTTGGTGTCCCTCCCAGTGATTGATAAATAGCAAGCACTCAATAAGTCTGTGCTTCCTGAATACAATTAAAGTATGCTCTGCTGCCAAGATCTAACTAGGCTCATGCACCTGTGAGAATCACAAATCCAATCAGAAAGAAAAAGCATCCCCACAAGACAGCTGAGTCACACTCCTTACATAAATCTTAAGTCTCTGACATATTTTTAGATCCTAGTCTAATATGAACTAAATCATAATGAGACACTTCCCTATACACTTTGGATGAAACTAGCAAAAGAAAGCTGCTCACTCAAATTAAATTGTATGCTTTCTACATCATATTGGCTTTGCTGATAATTCACTTATGCTAAATGTCAATTTCAAAAGCTCTGGGTCTAATTGCAAAGGCTTTAGTCAGTAGTCAAAACAGAGACATTGAACAGTAGAGTTAATTAGAGAAATTTGGGGGGTGGATGAATATCATTAAGAAGCATCTGTCCTTAGTGGGATGATATCTATGTAATTGAAGAAACTGGGTCTGAGAAAGGATGTCAGTGGTTTGTGCACTGTTATCCAGGAAGCTGAAATACATGGTGTACCAGGAGGGGGATTTCCCTGGGAAAGAATTCATGTGTTTGCAAAAACTTTTGTGGAGGCCCTCATTGCCATATTGCAGAGACCCTGGTACAGCTTAGTAGATAAGAGGATGATCTTTTGGCTCAAGTTTTTGTTCCATTCTTTTCCAACTATATGACCTTCTGGAAGGTTCATAACCTCTCTCTTAGTTCCCTGTCATATAAAATGAGGGTAAGGATAGCTCAGAAAGATGTATTGAGTATTTTGTAGCAAAATATTTGTAAAACCCACCATGGTTCCCAACATATTGTAAGCCCTCAATACAAAATGTGTGTGTGTGTGTGTATGTGTGTGTGTGTGTGTGTGTGTGTGTGTGTGTGAGAGAGAGAGAGAGAGAGAGAGAGAGAGAGAGAGAGAGATATGATTGTTCACGTGGCTATCAGGAGTACAATCCAATGTAAATCAGAGAACAGGCAAATCTTTGATGAGTTAGCTATTTGAAATGGATTCATTTCACATGAGACATTTGATACATTTTACATAGTAGATTCTAGTTTGATTTTTTAAAATAGTAAGTGTATTAGAAAGACTCAGGAAGCATCACATGATAAAATTAATATAAAACCCTAAAGCACAGCAGGTACTCAGTGACACAGCATCCCTCCTGTCATGGCCAGACCCCAGACAGCCTCACCCATGCCATGACTGTCTACATCATCCATCCAAGTAGCAAGTTACACTTACACAAGACTGCTTTGAAATAGGGGACCCAAGTCACTCCTTACCAACATTTGTATTTTGATTGTCAACTACACAGCCTAAAGCCCCTCCTCCCTACCTGAACCATCAGGTTGCTTTTGGTATTCAGGACCTTCCTCTCAGCATCCTGGAATGCCTTCTGCAGCCGCTGCTCCATGGTCTGAGCAAACTTGCAGGAATGTATGTTATCTGACTGGCTCACAAACTGTAGCACTAGAATGAGAATGAGAAATCAGCACTCACCAAAGCTTTACATCTCAGTTCCTCTGAGTGGATACCTAATAGCTCCTAGTTGCAACCGTCATCTAAAACAGTATGATTTCAGGTTACAGAAATTAGGCAAATAAACAGACCAGACAAGGTTTGATTTTGAAAGTGACTTGTAACAAAGAACAAATTTAAAGCATGATCTAACCTGAGAGTCCCTCCAATGCAAAAGACGTTGTGATTTTATTTGGATGGAATATACACACGTCTGCTCAAAGACCAACAAATAATAACCTGAGAGAGATCATGACTTCTATTTCTTTGAAGGGACAGAAAAAAAAAAATCAATCGACCTCCATTACTAAGTTGATTGTTTCCATTTCAATGGTTTCTCCACTCTTGTGGTTTACAAACGTTGCAAATCAGAAATCACCAGGGAGCTTGAAAGAAAGAAAGAATCCAAGGTCTAAGCTCAGAGATTCTGATTCAGTGATATTTGGGATCTACAGCTCCAAACTAAGATTTTATGGAGACTCAAGTTTTATTGGTGTCCACTGGTAATACAGGAAAAAAAAGCAATATGGTWCTCAGTGCTCATATGTACTAATTATAAGTTGGGAAGAAAAGCTCCTAATATGGGACATTTCTAATAAACCTCAGGTTAGAAAAGTTTAGACTGATGAATTGAGCACTTGGACATTTGATTAGCAGGACACTTTAAAGAAGACACAGAGACTTTAAAAGATGGCAGAGACATTTGATACATTTTACATAGTAGATTCTAGTTTGAATTYTTAAAATAGTAAGTGTATTAGAAAAACTCAAGGAAGCATCACATGAGAAAATTAATATAAAACGGCAATGGAGTTTTTAGACAGGTATCCACTCAGTACCGCCCCTGACCTTAGACTGCATAGGAATCCTTTCCTTCTGAGTTACTTGCCTGTTTTCAGCTGGAAGTAGCCTGCAGGCTGGGGCTTCCATGAGGAGGCAAGGACGGCCACAGACTGTAAGTTTGGGGTATGTTGCTTCAGATCTGCAGTGACGTTGCTGACTCCATAAACACCCAGCATTTCTATCACAACAGCAGGCAAGTATACCAACCTTCCTTTGGTAGCATAATAACCAACTGTGATGTTGTGAGAATGTTCCAGAATGTCCACCTACAAAACAAATGGACCCCCCAGAACTCACTGTTTATTTCCGCAGTACTTTAAGTTCTTAGTGCTTCTGAGAACCACAACTGTTACTTAGCAAGGCAGGGGAATAGGATTTTCTCCTTCCACAAACATTCTAACCCTCTTGTACATCATGCATGGATTAAAGCAGAAGTATGACAATACAACAAAATAAAATTTACAACAAATCTACATAGGACTGAATTAAATTTGCTTTTTTTTAAAAAAATGAAGGTTAAAAAGTGACTTTTTTTTAAGAGAGAGAGAGAGAATTTTTAATATTTATTTTTTTTTAGTTTTTTTCAGCAGACACAACATCTTTATTTGTATGTGGTGCTGAGGTTCGAACCCAGGGCCGCGTGCATGCCAGGCGAGCACGCTACCACTTGAGCCACATCCCCAGTCCTTAAATCTGCTTTTGTATATTTTGAAGTGCCTCAGTATAATCCTGTGAGCATTCATTATTACCTGAAAGGAAGAGAAGAGATAATGGACAGACAAAATTTCCAGCGAATGGGATGCTGGGGAAAACAGTTTTATTATGTTTCTCTTCATTTGTTAGAATTAAAAGGCAGAAATGATAAATTAAGTGGGGCATCTTCAGGAGATGGGTCAAGAAGTAAACAAAGTAAATTCCTTAATCTAGAAGCAGAGAGACTTGGCTTGTTCAGACTTGGCTCTATCTTTGGCTGGGACACTGGTTCAAGGCCAGGGCACAGACAAGTCACAGAGACCTTGTCTCACAGCTGAGTCAAGGGACACCCAATGACCTGAGCTCTTTCTATCTCAACAGGAACATTTGGAGGCTTCAGAATTTATTCTTATTTTGTTTTCCTTTTTTGATGTTTATATGAGAGTTCTGAGTGTTTTTGTTCTTTATATATATAAATATAATATATATCACAATATAAATATAATATATATCACAATATAAAATACAATCAGCATTTCTAGAAGACAGAATAACAACTGCCTCTAATATATCCACCATCACTGTAATATAATTATACAACAACTTCTAAGTTTATTTCCTTTCAGTCCCCCTAGTAATACATGTATATTTCACACATATAAATATATGCATGTATATACATATATGCATGCACTCTAGATATTGCTTCATAACCTCCTCTTTCCCCCTTTTATTTATTTATTTATCTATTTGGTGGTGCTGGTGATGGAACCCAGGGCCTTATGCATGATAGGCAAGTACTCTATTGCTGAATTATATCCCCAGTGTTTTTTTGTTTGTTTGTTTGTTGATTGGCATTTCTTTTTCTTAAACAAAAGAATTTTATTATCTCATAGTTCTGGGGGCTGGAAGTCTGAGACCATGGTTGGCCAGCATGGTCAGGTTCTGGGGAGGACTCTTTCCCACTCTGCAGACAGCTGCCTTCTCACTGTGTGCTCATGGGACCTTTCCTTAGTGAGCACTTGCAGAGTGTCTCCAATTTTTTTTACTGTGGCAAAGTACACATCTCATACCATCTACCTTGTTAACTGTCTTTAGCTGTACAGTTCAATGGTATTAAAAACATGTATATTGGGTACCTAGCACCACCACCCATCTCCAGAACTCTTCATCTTGTAAAACAGAACCTCTCATGTCAGGGTGTTTTCAAGGCCTGCTTTCCCCCTCATTCTTGCATATCCACCAGAAGAGTCATGTGGGACTAGTGGGGGACATGGCTCAGTGRTAGAGAGCTTGCCTGGCATGCATGAGGTCCAGGGTTCAAGCTCCAGCACCACAAAAAGAAAAAGATAAAAATAAAAAGTGTCATGTGTGTTTTCAAAAAAAAAAAAAAACCAAGGTAATGGATTTTGCAACAGGATGGGTGTGGTTTGGTCCCTCCAAGGTGCATTATCATTGGTTCTTTACTAAAGATGGTGTAAAARATGATAGAATGAGATGGACATCATTACCTTAGGTACATGTATGACTGCACATATTGTGTGACGCTATATCATATACAACCACTGAAATAAAAGGTTGTGCTGTAGTTGGTACAATAAATCAAAATGCATTCTWCTGTCATATATACCTAATTAATAMATAAATTAACAAAAAAGATGATTATAGGTGGAACAAGAGAAGCTTCAGGGMAGACCGTAAACAGGCTGAAATGACAGCCAACTCACCCAATGAGAGAATCACTCCCCTTTCAACCCTTCTAGTTAGCTCAAAGAACAAGCCAAAGCCAGGTCAGGAACGATTTGCTTTCAACACCTCCCTGACCCTTGCTAGTTCTTCTCTTAAACAAACAAAGACATGAGGAATAGCGTTGGATTTAACAAGCTGTTTGGGTCCCATGATTCTCATTTTGCCACTATCTTTTATTTGTGGCAAATGATCCTTATTTCCACGTTTGGTGGTAATAGCAAATATCCTTTCAAAAGAAATGCATTTAAAATGTTTAAAGTGAGRGATGGGGTTGTAGCTCAGCTGTGCACTTGCCTAGCACATGTGAAGCATTGGGTTYARTCCTCAGCACCATGTAAAAATAAATACATAAAACAAAAAGGTATTGTGGTCATCTACAACTAAAAAATAGTTTTAAAAAATTTGAAGTGAACTTAGCCTTAAAGAAGAATGAAATTATGGCATTTGCTGGTAAATGGATGGAACTGGAGAATATCATGCTAAGCAAAATAAGCCAAATCCAAAGAACCAAAGGCCAAATGTTTTCTCTCATATGAGGATGCTAATTCACAAGGAGGGAGAGAGAATAGAGGTATTTTGGATGAGACAGGGGATAGTAAAGGGAGGGGAGGGGGCATGGGGACAAGAACGATAGTTGAATGAATCAGACATTATTACCCTGTGTGCATATATGATTACACGATCTCTGTTAACTCTACATCATGTACAAACAGAAGAATGAGAAGTTATACTCCATTTATATGTGATGTGCCAAAATGCATTCTACTATCAKGTATAATCAATTAGAACTAACAAAAAATATATTTAAAGAACTGAAAGAAACAAATTTAAAGTGAACCAATTTGGGTCTGAGGTGAGGTGCAGAAAAGACGAAAGCTGTGTGGGTAGTTGGAGAACGGCTAAAGCTTATTGAAAACTTTATCAGGCGACTAAATGGGAACATTCACATTTCAATGGTCAAGTAAAATTTCTGGAGCAGAAACCACACAACTATCCCATGGAGTATGTTTCTATTGTTTCTTTCCTTTTTTTCCCTCCCTCCCTCCTTCTCTTCCGTCCATCTTTCTTTCTCTCCCCCCCCTCTTTATCTCTCTCTTTCTTCTGTAGAATTGTAGAGGAGAAACTGACAAGGACCCATAAACTATGTGCCAAACCCATTGCTAGTCCTTGGTGTGATGGGCGGAGAGGGGACCACTGAGCTGAACACAGCTGTAGGTCAGAACATCAAAGGAAGAAGCCGGAACAATATTTCTAAGTGGTATAAAAGGGAGTCCACTGACTGCCAATCACATTTACTGCTCTAACACTTGGAGTCAAACCAAAAGAGTGTAAAACAAAGCTTCCATCACTTGGACATGCCACCCAAATCAGCCAGCAGTTGTTAAACAGTACTTGGCATTGAAGTGTTCAGARGGGGGGTGGAAATGTTTACTTCCCTGTGTGCTGCTGGCAATTTTAGCAAAGTTGGACTCAATTTACAAGTCAGAATGATTTTTAAATGTCCAGAAATAAATCACTATTTAAAATGGTGTGAAAGATAAAAGAAAAAGCAATGGATGGTTTCTTGAAAATTACACAGACAATATTAAATGCTCTCCCTACACAATGGGAAAATGGAACCGTTTAAAACAATATATCCAGGCTTTTTTAAAAAAAAAAAAAATCAACATAGGCAATTAGTCTCAGTTTCCCGTCTCCAGCCACAGTCATTTACCAAAATGAAGAAAGATTCCACTTCTGGAAAATGTGGGTGTTGGGGGGAGGATGAAGACAATCTAAACAACACCTGGACCCCTGAGGCAGATGGAGACGGGTTAGCTGGGTGCAAAGTGAGGAGCTTACGTGAGCAGAGACGTCGTTCTGGTGGAAAGCCTTCCGCAATGCCTGCGTGAGCCCTCTGGCTACATTGAGCTTCAAGGACTCAAGGCTCTGCCCTCTCCTTTGGGTTATAAAGAGAACTGTGGGAGGAAACAAGCGTGGTAATCAGAGTAAGGTCCAAACCTCATAATGAACATGCCCTCCCCTCCTCTGGCCACCATATCCTACAAATTCTGAACAAAGCTGAGAAGCAAAGGCCCACCAAWGAGGGGATTGGCTGGGACAGAGGCTTTGTTGGTCCTGCTAAAGTTTGAAAGAAAGAAGGTCCTAGCCATTTGTGTGGCCCTGAAGACAAAGATCACGCTGGTGGCACTTCATCTCTGACACGTGTTGCCTCTGACCTTGAAAGCYAGGCTCTCTGGGGCGGGGCCCTGCTCTGGATGCTGCAGCCCCAGACAACCCTGAAACRGGAAGGACGGAGACAGGGATGGAGATACAGGATGGGGAAGAGGCATCTGTGATTGAATGTGACACGTGCTATTGGAAGGGAAGCCCAGGATGCTTTAGAGCTTCTGAGAGGAGCATCCAAGCGTTGAGTTGAACAAGGGGCTGGGATCAGGGAAGGTTTCCATGGGAACTGATGCTTTGGCTGAGTCTCAAAGGATCATAGGAGTGAGCTAGGGGAGGGGAGGGACTGCCCCCACCCAGTACCAGCAGAGGGAACGCCAAATGTAAAGGTGCAGGGGACAGAAGTGAAATACTTCAGTGTGCAAATTTAGGGCAAYAAGAAAAGAGGAGTTCTCAGCAAAGGAATGCATTTGAGAAGGTTCCCTTGACTGCAGACTCCAAAGCAGATTGGAGGGTGGGGTTCTGCAGGCAGAGAGAGGAATGTGGTTAGTGTTGCAGAAATTTCGGTGAATGAGGACGACAGCGTGAACCCAGGAAGTGGTGGTGTGAACCAGGATGAGAGACGGCGTTTTTCAGGAGGGAGAACTGAAAGTAGCTGGTGGCTGGTTAGACATGGCTGGGGCTGTTGGGAGGGAAAGAAGAGAGAGGAGAGAGGATGCATGGGGGTGGGAGGCTGCCCCTCAGAGGAGAAGGCATGGGTCTGGAGAGAGTGGGCAGGGGGAGCGGAAAACCAGATGGGATCATTTATTAAGAAGCAGAAAGAGATACTGTACTTTCTGCTAGGCCTAGTTTCACGATTTCCCATTTTAGAAAAGGATATGTCTCAAGATATAATTTCATTTAATTCTTTGCGGGGCGAGGAGGAAGGCGGGATTCGAGCATTCAGCATTGGCATGCTCTCTCAAATAATTTGTCTAATGCTTTTTATAGCAGACACTACCGCACTATTAAAAGCACCCTGTGCATTCGAGGGCTGCTCTGCTAYCACGGGGAACCGGGGCTAAAAAGACAGCATCCCGCTTTGCCCACGGTTCTAGGGCTGCCTGCAGAGCTTTTTCAAGAAACTCTCCCCTTTAAACATGAAAAATAAATCCGGGGGCTCCCACCTTGTAAACAGTAGCTGTGCTTTTTGTATCTGCTGATTAAGAAAACATGACAAAAAGCTTTTCTGAATTCTGCAGCCCTTTCCAAGACTTTGTATTAAACAAATCACATCATTTATTCATGCGAGACATCCCTGATGCACTCTGCAGGCAAAACACGATGCACGTTGGCATTCTTAGACCTACGGGAAACACTGTGGTCCCAGGGGCCTCTCATGTCAGGACTGATCCTAGAACTAGAATCCATGTCACCTCATGCTCCTCCCCTCCTTTGACACTTGTTGAAGATCAAGGTTTGTCAACCYCAGCATACTGATATTCTGGGCTGGATTATTCTCTTTTTTTCTTTTTTTGGTCTGGGGCTGTCCAGTGCATTGTGGGTTATTTAGCAATATCCCAGATCCCTATCCCACTTGAGCTCAGTAGCACCCCCTCTCACCAAGTGCAATAACTGAAAATGTCTCCAGATGTGGCCAAATGTCTCCTGAGGGAAGGAAGACAAGGTCACCCCGGATGAGAAACATTGATCTCTCTGAGGCCAGGCTGTGGCTTTCAAGTCCAACCGGAAGGACAGCAGCCTCTCACCTGTCTTCACCAGGAGTTTATCAGACATCTGACATTCCAGGTTGGACGCCGTTTTGCCAGTTGTGACCACCGCAGTGGACGAAGCAGGGAGAGACGCATCCGTGTTTTCTGCTTGCAAAGGGGGCAAGCGGGTGGCCTTCACTAATGCTGTAACGGAGGTCAACGCTGCGGTGACTGTCAGCGGGCGAGGGGTGGATGCCCTTGGCGTCTCTGGCTTGGTGGGGTTTGGGAGGCCTGTGTGCATGGCTTGTGGCTTCCTGGGGAGGTGTGTTGTGGACAACAGGCCCGAGGCAGCACCCGTGTCCCCCTGCATGGCTGTGTGTGTGCTCATGGTGTGTGCTGTTCTGGCAAACATGTAGGTTGGCGTGAACGGGAGGGCTGTATGGATCGCCCCTGCGGTTGCCTTTGGGCCAGATGCTGCCTTGTTGGTGACATTTTTAGCTAGAGCAGTGGTGGAACCGCTCTTGGTTAAGCCGCTGCTGCCGGTGCCCTTGGCCACCAGGGCCGCAGATAGCGCCTGTGGACTCGACTTCCTCAGAAACAATGTGGCCGCGGCCSCTGCTGCTGCTGTTGTTGGCTCCACCTTGGATGACACCGAGGAGTCCACTGTAAAGAGAGAAGAGGCAAAGCTCGTCACTGGCCGGGAATACACACGCCATTTGTTCTGATGATGAATGGAGGGAACCTATGGGTTAGCTGGGGTGAGGAGTGGCAGCTCTCTGGGMTGGCAAGCAAAACAACTTAGGCTCATTAAGGTAATTAACCCTAATGAGAATGCTGCTTACAGCCAAGCCATGGTTGGTAAAAAGGGCAGAAATTCTGAACACTCTCAAAACAACAACAACAACAAAAAAAATGAAGTGGGTAGAGGATCAACTACGTGTCTACTTGGGCTGCTGACGCTCACTTCTGAAGGGGAGGTATGTGCCTTCAGAGCAAAGCTGGGTGTTGAGCTTGAGGATGCTTTGGTCCCGAAAGCAGTCATACCTGTTTTTTTGGTACCAAGAAACAAACTACCTGCATTAGTGGTGGCACCTGTCCATTTCTTGGGGTGCTGAGAAGCTTGCAGCACTTTGGAGGGGGTCCTGGGGAAGGCACTGGTTGACAGAGGAGGAGATTCAGCAGCTGACTGAGGGCCAAGATTGCTCCGGAATGACGTGGAAGCAGTTATTCTGGGTGATGGGTAGATGTCACTGGAAATGTGGGACCCTGTATCCGTTCCATCGGAAAGCATGTCCTGCAAGCTTGTTGTAGAAGATAGAYGTGGCCAGGTCAGCCAAAGAGGAAGGCTTGACTGGGCAGAATGTTGACTTGTGGATGGATAATATTCAGCCTTGGCTGTTTGGAAGTCTCTGGGACGGTTGTGATGGCTTGTGGACCAGAGGTCTGTATGATTTCCGGCCAAGGTGACATYCGACTGCTGCACAGGCTGGTTGGTGCTTGTCCTAAGGACCAGATCTTGGATGTTGAAGCCTTCTGCAGCCACTGATTGCCCAGCAGTATCTTTGATGTTCTGAGATTTTACTGCTTTGGCAGCTGAARTTAAACCCCGGGGAAGAGAAGTGGCAGCTGAATGAACTTCCCAACTGGCGAAGTTAATTGTGTGACCATTTGGACCATCACTTGTTTGCTGCTGCAAGCCAGATATTGTGGAATCTCTGGAAAGGGTTCCTGTTTTTGCTGAAAGAGAACTCCAGAAAACATCTGTGGTTGTTGGCTTTTTCATGTCTCCCATTGTTGAGAAATCATCAGCATCAGTGGAGGAGGGAGATGCTGTCACCTGCTTGGAAGCAGAAACAGGCGATTCAGAATGGTCCCCAGCAGCTGTGTCAGTCTCCAACTTGGTGCTGGCAAAGCCAGGAGATGGGAAAACCATGTGGGTGGTCTGAATGGTGGGCCTGGAGGCTGGAGGTGAACCTGAGGGAAGGAGGTTTGTTCCTGATGTTGTAATGACGGGAGATGACATTGGATTGGAGCTAAAGTCAGAGCGGAATCCATTTTCAGTGTGAGGACTCAAAACTTCTTTGCTTGGAATAGTCACATTTGCCTTTTTATTTTTCCCTAAAAAGGCTGTCACGCTGACCTCTTTCTGCAGGGGAAATGTCCAAGTTGTGGAGAGAAGATCAGGAAGGTTCCTTGAGAGGAACAAGTCTGTGGCTGCAGGAGGGGCCCCGTCATGGCCTCCTTCTTGAGGTGTGGGCATTTCAGGTACAAGGGATGGCAAGGTCCGCTCTTCTGCAGGCTGAAGGACAGCGATCATGGAGGGAAGGTTGCCTTTCCCATTTGATGRCGATGCGGGAACTGTCCCAGAAAGGACGGCTTGCCCTTGACCCAGAGGAGTGAAAGGCAGCAGAGCAGGCACCAAAGATGTGTGTTCGGCTGAAAGGGCAGGCCTTCTGGAATTCTCTGGATCTGCTGACAAATGTGGTGGGTTAGCAGGGTCACTTGCAGTAGTAGCAGGGGCTAGCTTTCTGCTGGTCATTTCTATGGTCACTGATTCTGCAGTCCGAAACAATGAAAGCTCAGCCGCCTGGGTTGCTGCTGCCGTGCTCTTAAAAGTTGGCAAAGACACCCCACTGTGCGCTCTTTTAGCCCGCGAAGTGTGGACTGGGTGGGTGGATGCAGGATTCGAAGCCACTTCCATCATGGACCATGAGGGGGTCCCACCTGGAAGCGCAGGAAGACCTCCAGGTGCTAGGGTCGGGGGAGGCAGACGGGCCAGTTCTGCCATGGAGCTCAAACCCCCAGGTGTGGGTGAGCCTGAAGAGTGGGGACCCTCTTTCGGGGACAGTTCAGAGTACTGCTTTGTTAAGGATCCAGAAAAACTTAGATGAGGGACACCTATGGAACCCTGGGCATTTGGGGATGGAATGTGGTTCATTTTGTCAAAAGCTGGGTTTAGGGCATTAGCCACAGTCTGAGCTGAGGAGGAGTCGGGTGGAGCTATTTGGGGGAACAAAGGCACAGGGGTGGGACGCTCTGCTGGCTTAGAGGAGGTGATGGAATGAGGTGAGTTGGAGGTCAATGGAGCGGATGAAGGTGGAGGAGGAAGTGGGAGCATATCTGATCTCAGGGGATGCTCCGAAAGGGAAGGAGTCCCTACCCGCGGCTGAGATGGGGGGACGGCACTCAAGGTCACCGATGGGACTGTGGACCACGGGGGAAGCATGCGGGCGTGAGGCAAACCTGACACGTCCGCTGCTTCTCTTCCCCCTGGAGGCCTCGGTTGGACCAGGGACTCGCTGGAATCTTGAGAGGGCTCCAGGGAGGCGCTCTGTCCGCTTCCTTGGTAAAGGGAAGGAGAGAAGTCCACGTGAGCCCTGGCCCTGCGGTGCGCCCTGGGCGGAGGTGTCCGGGCTAACTGCAGCAAGCTCGTGTTATCAGGGGACTGTTCCAGCACGTTCTTGATTCTGTCCACCGCCAAAGAAGACTTGACTTCCGAGAAAGGCCATGTTGGTGAAATTGGTAACAACTTCCCATGAGGAAATGGCTCCGGGGTTGGGGTGACGTGGATCTGCAGATTATCTGCTCCTGTGAAACAAAGTATTTGCAGTAAGGCATTGGAATCAGGAAGGTGCTGGGGGAGTGGGCAAGACAGGCCCTTCCTGGTCTTAGAGCTTATTCAAACAACCAGTTAAATCTCTACAAATATCCRCAGGATGGGGTTGGTGAGAGCATTCTTTGATGAAGGGATATTTAAGCAAAAATGTGAAAGATATTCACGTATTGTTATTTTTTTTAAATCTACCTTCATTCATACCTACCTATAAAGTACCAATTATTAAAACAATAAATAGATGGGAGAAAGGCCAGTGGAGTAGAAGAGGGGAACAGGATGCAGGGAAGAAGGAGAGGGAGGAAGGAAGGAGGTACTGGGAACAAATGACATTCCATGCACATGTGACTATGTCCAAAGGAACCCCAACATGATGAATAGCTATAATGAACTCATAGAAACATTTTTAAAAAAATAGCTTGTAGCACCTATGAGATTTGAAACATAAAACTCACAACTTAGAAAAAAAGGTAGCTACCTGTCATGACCAATGACACCAAAAGTAAATCTCCTCCAAGAAACTCATATGCCCAACACTCTTAAAGGACTATGCATCTGAGCGTGGATCTTCTTTTAGGTCTCTAAGGCATCTTAGAGAAATATCTGAGGTTGCCTGTTTGGAATGATGGCGCYGATGAAACATATATCTCTTCTTGGGTTTAAAAGGATCCCTGATGCTATCCTTCACACCGAGTCAAGTAGCAAAGGAGATTGCTTTCAGATTAGGCTGTTTCAGAAAGAAAAATGACTCACCCACCCTAGGACAGGAGACACCTCTCACAAGGCCTGGTGTCACTATAAGCACCTGCGGAGACCAGAGCTGTCAGAACTAATGTGTGAAACCTTAGGCAGGGGAGGGGGGGAGCTCCACAGGAAACGGGGAGATGAAATCTCAGGAAGCTGAGAACTTCACCTATCCTGTCTGATGATTCCCCTTTCCACAGTTCCTGAGGATTGGTGGTGCAGAGTGGCTAAATGTCCTTAATTAATATTTTAAAGATTCTTCTAGAACCTTCTACCTAGGGCTATTTGATATAAATAATCACGTCAAGAGGTGAAGTCAGAAACTATGGGTCTGCTCATATCCTCAGTCCCCTGGAGCTGCATGTGAGTGTCTGCACGACTGTCACATGGAGATGGTGACAACAAGCACATCCAAACTACCCTCTGGGCCATGGTGAGCAGCAAATGAAATCATTATTTAGATACCAGTTTCCTCTTTATGATGTAAAATTGCTGCGGAAGGACAGATTTCCAGAGACGCACTAAACAAATGAGCTGTTGTCACAGGCTCTRCGCCCTATGTTTGAGTGTTCAATGAAAGAGGACACTGTGGTCCAGACAAGGGACACCCTTTGCCGGAAGCCACATAACTGATCAGGGACAGAAGCAGGTCTGGATGTGGAGGCTCCTCGCTCCTATGTGGGGCTTCCTCTCCACCATGCTTTTCTCAGGTTGGTACCTATTCTTCACATGGCATTCTGCCAACCAAAAGAGCAAACAACTAAAGCTAAAGTCTTATTACATTGGAGCTTTTAGAATCTGCAAGATTTTCTGCAGTCCCAAAAGCTAAGTAGAAATTTTTCCTTGAAATGATCTTTTTCCGTTGCCTTTTGTAAGGTTTGGAAAAGTAAGGMGTATCTTTCACTCTGAATTAAGGAAACACGTGAAAAAAAAATTTCCCGACTCTTTGCTTTCTTGTTTTTAAAATTTCCCATTCTTGGAATTTACAGATGCTCAAGAAATTGTCCTCAARTCATTTTTAGAACATGCTGGGGTGTAAGCCAATACTATAACCAYCTTTAAAGGATTTGTTGATGATCCATTTTGTAAGCAATACCAAACCCTTCTGGGCAAGCCATCTAACAAGCCCCACTTAGCCTGAGTGGCTCCTTATAACCAGATCAGAATCATCAGGGCTCCTACCTGCAGAGGCAAAGCTCCCTCTGGCCTCTGCTAGCCAAACCTCGCCCACCTTAAACACAAATCAATGGCAAGAGGTACATAGCTTGAGGACACCAAAGTGTACACAGTATTGCGTTCAAGTACRTGCAAACCCTGGGAAATGCTTCATAGTTTGCAATGGATGTGCTTCTATATCACCACATGCAACCCAAGGAGCCATTCACCCCCAGTCAGTTGCAATGTTACGTGGAGGGCCGATCTTGCTTTCACACCTCAATCTTTCCTGTTCGTAGCCTCAGCTTCACACTTTGCATGCAGTCTGGGAACATAGGTGAATATAGAATCTATATAAGGTCATTCAGCATTTTCATGTTTTCCAGTTACATTTTAGAGTCCATTTTTGTTGCTTAGATGTTGGGTAATATTTATGCATGATTTCTTCTTTTGTACTTTCACGGAAATAGATTTGACCATGAGTTCAATTCATGGATTCAAGAGTCAAAACAAGAATTTATCTTGTTTCAAATAAATAGCCTTGTAACTCAAAAAGAATGCTGTAAGCCAAGTACCTTTTGCTTTCAGTAAGATGACTCACAAACTCTTGCACAAAAATCTTGCCAACAGGATGGAAGAAGAATGGGTCATTGGGTGATAATGTAAGTGTTTTGTATCTAACTGAGAAGCCTTGAGTACCTCAGGAATCTCACTCCTGTCTGAGAATTAGCACCCCTCTTTAGAAACGGGTTTCCTCTTTATGATGTAAAACATCTCCCAAAGTATTTAAAATCAGCACACTAACAGTGACACAGCCACCTCAATGTTTATAGCAGCTCAATTCACAATAGCCAAACTATGGAACCAAACTAGGTGCCCTTCAACAGATGAATGGATAAAGAAAATGTGTGTGTGTGTGTGTGTGTGTGTGTGTGTGTGTGTGTGTGTGTACATACAATGGAATATTATTGAGCCATAAAGAAGAATGAAATTATGGCATTTGCTGGTAAATGAATGGATCTAGAGACTATTTTGCTAAGTGAAATAAGCCAGTCCCCAAACACCAAAAGCTGAATGTTCTTTCTGATATATGGATGCTAACCCACAAGAAGAGAGGGTAGAGATGTGCTTTAGTCAGCTTTTTTGCTGCTGTGACTAAAAGGACCCATCCAGAACAATTATAAAGGAGGAAATGTTTATCTGAGTTCTCATGATTTCAGAGATCTTAGTCTTAGATCTTACTGGATGTACATGGAAATATACACACATCAAGTTCCACTCTGGAACCAATTTCTAAATAGGCTAGGGTAAATTGTGCTTCAATAACAAAAAATACCCAAACTACGATGACAGCACAGGCTAGTTTCTTGTTCGTGCAACCTGTTCATCCTTTGTCAGAGGGGTCTTTTGCTTATACTCATCCCCAAGGGACCCAGACCAGAAAACCAGCAATCATGTCTAACACTTCTAGTTTCTTTCTTTTCCTCCATTTTTTTTTCAAATTTAGCAACAACCTGTAGGAATATAATATTTCTAGGGTTTTTGTTGTTGTTGTTGTTGTTGACAGAACAGTTCTTTCCTTTTAAAAAGTGAGGATCTTCCTCCAGCATTTAAGTGTCCTACCCCACAAGCAAAGCTTACCGTTTCCTCCCACACCTGATTGGTCAGAACCAGTCACATGGTCCCAGCCAACCCCAAAGGTAGCCTGAAGTTTAGCCTCGAAACTTCACAACTTCACCCGCTCAGGAGGTGGAAACAGAAATACATGGTGAACAGCATCCGGGATTCTCACAGGGGAGGGTAGCATACAAATCTTTTCAAAAATGGTCTGTGGAAACTTTTCCCCRGGAGGTGTTTGAAACAGAGTTTTAATAAAAGCTATCTTGGGGAGCACCAAATTCTAATTGGGAAAGCAGCAGAATCTAGTAGAAATAAATCCACTAGAGACCATTTTTCTTCACTTTTTTTGTGGAGTTTTTCATCAGCATGCTGAGGTAGTCATTTTATTGGAATACCTATTTATTGGAATATCTTATTTATGAAGAGAAACATTATCTTGAGTAGGATACAACAGTCACATGAAAACTAGGGCCTTCAAGGCATGCGGACAAACGTTTGCGCCTGAGGCTGACCCTGGAGAGTCAGTTTACCCTTCCCCACAATTCAGAGAGTATTCTGACAGTCAAGATGCTTTAAAAGGCTGAGTGGAGAGGACCCAAATCTGTCTAAACCATGCAGAAAGGGGGCTGTGTGATTTAGCACTCCAGGAACAGAACCAGAGCCGGGGGAAGAGGCACAAGGAGAGATTAGACCCGATAAGAACAGGTTTCTCCAATTATTAAAACTATGGAGAACAGAATGAGCTGGCTTCAGGTCAGCGAGTTCTCTACCATTAGAAGAACCCAAAGGGGCATGTTTTAGATTGA